GAGAAATGGGGTTTAACATCCACTCAACACAAACTAGGTCATTTCAGGACTAACATATGGTTTAATTTTATTTCCATAATTCGCTTGTGCGTAGGAGTCTTTAGCAGTGAGAGGAAACCGGAGGACCCAGAGAAAACCTATGAGGTCTTAATAAAAGGAAGTAAAGTAATGATCAGTAAAGGTCAGTTGAAAGATCCCTTAATAAGAGATGTAATGAATAATAGACTAAATCTTTAGGTCTTTCTATGACCAGATCTCAAATTTCTCTTGCATGTAACATAATAACTATAACAAACCTGATAGTCTGTCGGATCTTCTACCCACAGATCTCTTGCTAATATAGATTTCTTTCCTTCAGCTACACAAACTAATGCTTCACCTATTGTAAACTGCAAATCCACTTGTTTTCCCTGAAATATACACGTTTATAATACATCGGAGCATTGAACGTCAATCTATATAGAACTCATATGAACTGTAATTGTACTGCAAGGAGATTGTTATGGGACGGTACTCTAAATCTATATTTCGTTGCAATGTGATATTGTTTTACAAACTTTATGGATCAACCATACCCTTGTATGATATGTTTATGTAGTTTCTGAATAAAACATGGATCAACACAACGTGAGGTCTTCTATTTTATGTTATTTCATCAGTTCTGTATTTAATACCATACAATTAATGACAAACTTAGCAGTTTCTAATGTAATTTACTTACTGTAACAGCATTAAACAGTTCAGACATGACATATTTCTGATGTGCAAATTGTGTTTCACCAATACAAATATAACCTAATGCCATAGCAGCTTTTTCTTTACTCTACAAAATAAACATATTTATAGAATTACACTATATAATTTTCGTTAAATCTTCCTGGTTGCATTACTGAAAATCTAAGCTGCATTTAACACACTTTGTAGATAGTCATCATTAGTCATTATAGTACATCTGGTATATAGTACATCTGGTATAATTATATATATTGCTTCATCAAAGGTATCTCTAGAATAGAATTGAACTGGAGAAAACCAACAAGATTAAGGAGGTGACATCTTGGGACTGAATCGTCAACCATTTTGATTACTGTTTACAGACTGAACAGTGTTGTGAACCATTAGCCCAATTCATGCAATAAGAATTTCTTCAGTGATTTATCATATTAATTAGCCTGACTGGTACAGAAAAATAGGATCTTAAACCCTATTTCATTTCTTTAGTGATTTACCTTTTTGTCTTTATTATAAATTTAAGGTACCCTACCTTGTTAGTGTGTTCACTCTTTGTTAACATTGATATCAAATGATTAATAACTGACATCTGAGTAATCTGCTCTTTGTTATCACCTTCACCACCAGAGGGCAATGGTAATGGTGCATTTCTACCAATTTCACCTAGAGCTGTACACGCAGCCAACGATAGACTTGCATTACTGCCCTTTAAAATAGAAACTGTAAAACAAAAGTAGCCGATTTAAAAGTCAGACAAATGGAAAATTTAATTTTCAAATAAACAGTTAATAGCACCATCTGGTAGCAAATTGTATAAGCTTTCTGGGGAACAATCAATTTCAGGTAAAAACGATCAGAGTCACATCGAACCAAGGCCCTTCTGAAAGGTTTTACCTTATATGCGAAAAGACAAAAATGTGACTTAGATCGTTTTTCCCCTGGACTCTTCAAATAATTAACATTCTACAATAATTTTAATAGATAATCAGATCTATGTATTACCCATAGTTTTGACAATTTCTGTGACATCATCTTTATGTCCATTAGTTGATGCATGATCCATGTCTTCAATTCGTCCTTTAGTCTGATTATTTCTCATTTGTCGACCAATCAAATAGCCCAATGTTAACAGAGAACCATGTTGGATTTCTAAAGACTAGAAAAGAGATAATACAAACTATTATTAATCACAATCTGTAACATTGCACAAAGTATTTAACATTCTATTGAGTTATTAAATCTATTTGTTCTTATTTCCACATTTTGTTGTACTATTCATCAGGTTTGTGTCAGAGGTCATGTCAGGGATCATATGGGTGAACTTCAACTAAATAATGAAGGCTATCTATGTCTAAACTTCATTTTGTTTAGTTCCCTACCACACTACAGATGACTACCTGCATTCTGTCAGACATTACGTAAAGGTTGACCAAACATACCATTTCAATGGCTTATTCCCCATATCAAACAAAACACAGCTTATTTAAACACTCTTCAAGATTCCACAGCAGTAAAAAACGAAATTTAAGTTATAAATAATGAAACAAAATAAGATCTGTGTTTTAATGATACTGTTTTGGATTTAACTTAGAAATAAACACAGGGGTCTTATGATGCAATGTGCACACGTTAACCGTTCGGCCACACCCCTCCAAATATTTTAAGAACACAGCCTTTTTTCATTGATTAAGCGCTAATATTTAAGCTTTAATTTTAGTTCTCGACCAATGAACTATCCATTTTCTTCAAATATTTTAGTTCAGGTTTTCATGAATAAAGCCCTAGACACCTACCTCGGATTTAGATTTAATATTTGCGAACAGTTCTTGCAGAGTGTCAGAGATTAGATTATGATTCCCAGAATGCATTATCAATATGGCGTATATCTGGGTGGCATACTGGCGAATATCTTCTTTTGTTGAAAACATATAAGTCTGTAAAATATAAAATGTATTGTTGTTATATTAAAGATACACTATGGGAGATTTTTATAGAGAGTTGGCCATTCTTGCTATAACAGTTCAAAAGTAGATGATGAAAGAAGAATATATTGAAAATTTCAGTCAAATTACTTTATTCTGAACATAGTTATCATCGTTGTAATATTTGACTAGAAATGGTAGTGAACTGTGCCTTCACCTTGGCCGAACGTTTGATTGACAGGCGTTAACTCCACCTACATATCTCGATTATCAAGTAAAGTTTTCAATGGCATGCGGAACAGCTCTACAGCGGCCTCGCTAAGTACACTCTATCATTTAGCTTCGATCTAACTGACGTATTCTCATCAGGCTGCGCCATATTTGAATTTATCAATAAGTGAAATCCTATTTAAATCCGAGCTGTAGCCGAGCCATCCGTGGGTCTACAGAGTTGATTTTGGGCCTGTTGTTTAAATAAAGATCTAATTTATAATTTCTATAACATCTGAAGCCTAAATTAAGACTTGCAATAATCAGATTTTGCTCTTGCATAATGTATGTTTAATATTTAGTGTAATTCTACAAAATAGCAAGTATCATTCTTGAATTTCAATTCTAAAATATCTTGAAAACATTAGTCCTAACTTAAAATTTTAGATATATTAAATATGTCTTAAAGATGCATTATGTGTAAGATTTAGATGTAGAGCTGGTCTTTCTTGCTATAATAGTTTAAAAGAAGATAATGAAAAATGAATATATTGAAAATTTCATTCAAATTACATGATTCTGAGCGAAGTTATGAGTATTTGAAGTTTTTACAAGATAAGAGTAGATTGTTTATTATTGTAGCAATGGTATTTGACAATTATCCATTTTATCGTTAAATATTTTAATCGCACGGGTGTTTAAATCCATTTAAATCTTGGGCCATCCGATGTCCTAGTGAGCTGATTAAATGTTAATAAATATCTAAATTATAATTTATATAACATTTGAAGTCAAAATAAAGACCTGCAATAGTAAGATTTAGCTCTTACATAATGTATCTTTACTCAATAAATGAACAGTATTCACCTTTAACCAGTCAATATTTGTTAAAAATTCAGGTGCTAATTTATCAGCTGCCACAGCAACCACTTCCAATAAACAAAACATTGTTTTAGGATCTAGAGAAAAAAAAAATATCAAGTATTTATTATCAACCTTTCATCCTTATCATCAAAACAATTATACTATCTCAAAAAACCCTAGAAATATAGCACATCTAGCTATTTTCTACATGGAATAAACACATTGTGAAGTATTTAAGGCGCTAAACCTTTTTCATTTAGTTAAAAATAAAATAACTTGTAATGAATTAGATTGATGATCCAATGTCGTAATTCCATCAGACGCGAGAAAATATCTTTATGCTATGAGTAAATTTTCTTCTTGAAATATCAAGTAGAAGTCCATTTGTATCCAAACTTTAGTTTCTAGCTTTAATTGTGAAGAATGGAACACAATATTGGTTATATATCCACATTGACTCTATTTATGGACATCAATTTTAATACCCACTTCACAAATCAAATCAACATATGAAACTTCATTATAAATCAACTCTTTATTATTTTTCAGCTAAATCAAACAGTTTAAATCAATCTGATTAAAATACAGATCTATATTTCGTTTCGGTTTTTTATACTTTCGATGGCCTACACTACATGAAGATCTGACAAGTTATAGCGATAGGTCACGTCAGGGGTCAAAAGACCGACTTATGACCCTATTATGTCAAACATTTGATTAACCAATCAGCATTGACGTTACTAGTGGATTACCCACAGTTTCGTGAAAAACACGCCTAAAGCTCGCCGTAACAGACCGTTTCATTGGCTTATTCCTGACACCATTCAGAACATGAGTTAAATAACAACTCTTCCAGATCCAAGTGTAGTAAAGACAAGTAAAACAAAATTTTGAACTATAAAAACGAAACGAAATAGGATCCGTGTTTTAACCAGATTGGGTTTAAATCATCTAGATATACCATGTACATATGTGTGCATTAAGTACATGTAACTATTAAATATGCACATTAAGTAACTATTAAATATAAATTTAACAATTAAAACATTAGGATTAGAAATATGATAAACTAAATAAACTAACCAGAATTAGCTGAGAGAAGTTGTTTTAACATATCTATATAAGTATATACAGGTCCAGTTGAATCAGAATGATCAACTAGTAATTTGTTGACATATTTAGATATCAGTGGTGCTTGGTTCATCATCTCTGTTGCTGTATCTATATCTGTCTCACCACCAGCATCATTAGATAAACACATTCTTAGATAAATTAACATCTAATAAAATATAAACACATTCTTAGATAAATTAACATCTAATAAAATATAAACACATTCTTAGACAAAATAACATCTAATAAAATATAAACACATTCTTACATATATCAACATCTGATAAAATGAAATGGAGTTCAGCGTCCTAATGTTCTGCTCCAATGGGGCTAATGAAGACAGGCATATGCCATGCAGTATGCTATGAGCGAAATTTTGTCCGACAGTGGTCCTAAGTCCTACTCTTAAATCAAATTCCAACTGTAATTGGTGCTTTTACATGCACGCTAATGTGTACACAGGACCTTGGTTTTTCGTGCCGTTCAAACGACAATACGTTGTCCCTTGCCAGGGAATCGAACACATGACTTCCAGCTTAGGGGGCCAACGCACTATTCAATGAGATACTGTGACTCTCTTAACATCTGATAAAAAAATAAAAATAAACAACTTTCAATGTTACAGTTAACTAACACTGTTCTAGATTAAAGCTACTGAATGTCATTTGATGAATTTCTGAATCACTTGCAAACTACAATATTATGAAAATTAAAACTCTAAAATGAGTCTAAGTTCAATTCAGTTCTATATATACAAAGATCTGATCAACTGAAAATTTTATAACATTCAGCATCCTCTGAAAACGATATAAACAAGCCATTTTTGCCCTTTGATGTGTTTCGTTTTAATCTGATTTAAATCAAGCCATGAGATTATGTACCAATGATACTGGATTTGTTTTCTTAATTAAATGTTAAAGAATCAATTTGAGAATATTTTAGTATTGATCAATGAAAAATTAGATATTGTCTGAAAAATGTAAATGACAATCAACGATTTTAAATTCCTTGCAAAAATGAGAAAACAAATTACATGATGTAACCTGTCCAGATTGATTTCAACTTTAGTGGTTTACCGGTAATAATTTAATGGGTTATTAAAAGATTCATATTAACTATTCAAACAGTTAAAATAATCCAGATATTTGTTAATTTCTCCGTCTTCATTAGCCCAGTTCGGAGCAGAACAGTAGGATGTTAAACACCATTTCATTTCATTTGTTCATTTTAAGGATAATTCAAGTTCAGAAAGTTTTTACTACCAAATAGATTCATATTAACTATTTAATTAGTCAAATCACCAAGATATTCCTTAATTTTCTATACCACCAACCGTGTTATAAATTTCTTACCTGTGTATAAGCTGTAGGATTAAAGGGTAAAACTGTATTGCCTGTTGTATATCTCTGGTGACTTTCCTTCCTCTGTGACGCCTTCAAAAATAAAATAAAATTATCTTGAAATTTTACGATCTTATAGTTCAGAATCGCCAGCTTTAAGTATGCCTAAATTTTACATGTTTAAAAAATGATCAATTGAACTAATCTTCAGCTACTTATGCAAACATTGGGAATACTGCCATACTGAAGCATCAAGAAAACAATGGTGAGAGAGAGAGAGAGAAATGGGGTTTAACATCCACTCGACACAAACTAGGTCATTTCGGGACTAACACGTGGTTTTATCTTATTTCAATAATTCGCTTGCGCGTAGGGGTCTTTAGCAGTGGGAGGAAACCAGAGGACCCGGACAAAAACCCATGAGGTTGGACAGGCGACCCTACTCCTTGTCACGTACAACCGGGGATTTGAAACCAGAAAACAATGGTGAATATCTTGATTAAAAATTTTATACCCATCAAACATAGCTTGAGTGGTAAGGTAATCAGCAGGCTAGGTCGTCCACAATGTAATAAGACCCTTTGTTTCAGCATTTCTTCCCCAATTTTCATTTTGTAAAAATAAGGTTTGAAGATTAGGGGCCTTGACAAACGGACAGTGGCAATTATTATATATGACCACAATAACAGGTGGGCATATAAAATCATTGTAGAACATTCTATTACTATTATTATCATTTACCTTTTCCTTAATATATTGAGTCATCTGAACAAAATCTGGTAAAGATGATTTAGTAGTAGCGGTAGTGGTAGTAGTATCTGATGTTGGAGTTAAAGCCTTCATTGCTTCACCTCGTATATCATCTTTACTAAAATAACATAGTAAATAAACTAACAGAATTTACTAAATTTTCAAATTAAAAACCAAATTCCCACTTTGACAAAAGCGGAGGAAAAAAAAACAGTTTGTAAGGTTTAGGTATGCAGAAATAACTCCAATGTTCTTTATTGTCTACTTGTTGCAGGGTTCAAGCAGAGATATTTGGTCCAGTGTTTTAAACAGTATGTACAAGGATCCACTTTATAAAGAGCAAAAATCTAAAATATTTGAGCTTAAACAATCCTCCATTCTACTTTTCATAATACTTTTTATGGTGACTGCAAAGTAAATATTGGCAGGTTTTTTTCTAGATGACTGTACTCAGTTTCATAATTATACAGAGATGAGAATTTTACATTTACTTACGTATCTCCAGAAGCTAATAATAATATATATCGTGATGGTATATGATTTGATGGAAAAACAGCTACAGCATATTGTACAGCTACTGATCTGGCTTGTGGTTCAGTCTGTTTATAAATATACACAGAAAATAACATTATATGACATGATACCATTACTAGCTGAACGATTTCCCTAATTAAACGGTAAATTTTTATATGGAAATACCACAGTTACTGTATTCACCATGACAGCACCTGTGCACTCCAGCATAACAAGAGAGAAGCATGGTTTAACAAATTGTTCAAGCGAGCATTTAGTAATTGAATGTGAAAAACAAAGAATCCATAATGAAGACAAGAGAACCCTTGTCAAAACCTGGACAGAAATAAACCTCTAAGTAACTTGTATTCCATATAATTGTGACAATACCACTCCCCCCCCCCCACCCCACCATTTCATGAATAACAACTATAATTGAATTAGCACACAATTCATGAGTTACTTAGTCCTACGGTACATCACAAAATTACTCATTACATTCTAGTTGCAACCATCTTCAATAGAAGGCTTGATCTTGCTTTAACTACATACATCTTATCAAGGCCTTCACGTAATTCCCTGCATATTTCGGCACTTATTTTGATTGGATACAAGCCCAGTTTGTGAGCCTAACAAACTCGTCGTGAATACCAAGTCTCGCGCTTTTAAGCTAAAATGTCTACATGTGATAATCGAGTTGCAAAGTTCAAGGTTCGTTCAATGTCATGGTTTCCGTGGAGGTCGCTATGCCACAACCTCTGATTGGACGCTACTGTTCACGTGTCTGTAGATAATGTAGCTATAAGTTCGGGAATTGTGAAGTAATCTTGCAACGGCCAGATTTTGTAAAACGTTGCTTCAGGAACATGGGTTGCAACATGCAAATAATATTAAGTGTTACAAGAATGACATGAACTATTTCAATAACTGCTTAAAAATTTGGTTTAACTTTCCTAAACTGAATGTAAGGCTAGATGGATGAGCATTATGTTATCCTTTTGGCTTAGGTTGTCCAGTACAGAGTTTTGTAAAGCCTGAATATCAATAATTATTACCTTGTCCATATACTGCATGATAAGAGCTTCCATTAGTTTAAGATTTGTAGGATCAAGCTGTCTAAAGGCATCAGACATCAAAGATAAAGCTTCTTGTACAGCTAACCTGGTTTCAACATCTTCCTGTTAAACATACAAAACATACATCATTGACAGGAGAGTCTGATGACAATTAATACATCACATATCAACTTATTATCCTGTCGAACAAAGTTAAGGGAGGGATATTGAAATGGGTTTCATCCGTCCATATCTCACAAACCATTAGATATCTTTATGAAACCTCAACTTTTTATACAAACTGAGCCTTGGGCTAATTTTATCAGATTTAATCATTACTGTGTTTTTGGTATACAAGAGAGAGAGAGTGAGGAGAAATGGGGTTTAACGTCCACTCGACACAAACTAGATCATTTTAGGACCAACATATCAATCAATTTTTATTTCAGTAATTCGCTTGCGTGTAGCGGTCTTTTTAGTATACAACCGTATGCAATGTTGATGACATAGTCTTCTTGTTTAACAAATACAGAAATCAAATATCCAAACCGGAAAAGTTTGTATAAACATTTTTCAGTATAGGGTATTGATCTGTTATGTTTTCCAGACAGACAAGTAAGATAAACAACCTATATTACATTAATTTTCAAGATTAATGTAAATCTATTGTTCCTGGAGGTATTGAAATCAATGAGAATTCTCTGCCTACCTGGCACACTGATTCAAAGAATTGTTGTATCAGTGTAATATCTTTAGCAACTCTTTCAGGAGATCTTCTAGCTATCTTACCAACTGCTACATATGCCAGACTTCGTAACTTATTATCCTGTAAAATATCCATGTATAAATAAAAAAAACATCCATATAATAAAGTTTACTTCTCTCATCACAATGTTGTAATTATACAATAATTTTAGAAATGACATATTTAAAATACGTGGATATAAGTTGCAGAAAACTAACCTGAATTTAGACAGATCTTTTTTTTTCAAAATTTTATCCTAACTGTGCATAAAATGCAAAAATAATTTGTACTTTTTTTTAAAACAAAACGAAATGGGGTTTAACATCCCAATTTTCTGCACCGACTGAGCTAATGAAAACAGGCTTTTCAAAAACAACTTTGTGAAATCAAACATAAATTTATAATGATACATGCTATTTTCACAAACACTGTACCATTTTGCAATATGCAACACCAAAAGCCAATCATGACATTTGATGATGACGTATGTAGTTAAAACTACAATATGAGTGACACAAACTCAGATTTATCATAAGTTTATGCCATATTCTTTATTGTTATTGATGAAATAAATATTTTGATTTTGCAACATTTTTACATCCAGCTCAGAGCCATAAAACTTAGGAATTACTCAAATAGCCAATCGTGTGCCTCAATTACATTACATGTAGCTGTAACACACATATCAAGACCCATTGAAAATGCGAAATGGATGATTGTAAATCTCGTTTGATCGATAGATTTTTAATCTTGCTATTCTGGATGTAACAACATCTTATCACGACAATAAAATGTGAGAATGATGTTAACATGCCATGGATCAATTGTACAGTACTTCCAGTCAAACCAGTGATAAGTTTTTATTGTGTATCAGTATATCTTATCTGGAGAGAGAGAGAGAGAGAGAGAGAGAGAAAGAGAGAGAGAGAGAGAGAGGGGGAGATGGGTTTAACTCGACATCAACTAGCAGGTTATTTTGGGACTAACATGGTTCAATTTTATTTCAATAATTCGCTTGCATGTAGGGGTCTTTAGCAGGGGTAGGAAACTGAAGGACCCGGAGAAAACCCACAAGGTAGGACAGGCAACTCTACTCCTTGTCACATACAACCCGGGAATCGAAACCACGCTAGTTGACTCAATGACAGACCTTATGATACGTGATATCGTATTTTATCTGGAACAGCAGTAACGATCGGTGAAAATTTGAGTAAAACTTAAGTTCATAACCCCCTCAGAACCCCATTCTATCAACCCGATACCTGTTCTCAATGACATATATAAGTAAACATTACACAGTTACTCAATACTTGAATTCTTATCGTTGAATCTATATTTCTACATACTCACCTCTTATTATAGTATACCCAATATTATAGCCTACTTTTAATATGTAAATTATGGAATTACACATGTAGTATGAATATATAACAATATAACGCTGAAGAGTTATCCCTATCTTCAATGTTTCTAACAGGACATTATAAACTATATTGTTACAAATCATTCTATAAATGATATTTACTAGGTATTCTTGTTTATACTATTGGTGTTCATATTACTATTACAGGTATTTCACACTTCATAATCTACATAAGCCACTGGTATCACTAACTGGAGGAAAATTTTAGGGTATACCTAAATTTGTAAATTATATTTTTATAACTAGGGAAGTTATTAATAGGAAAATAATTTTTGTTGAAATTTGTTCATCATTTGTTGGCATGATTGTTATGAAATTTTACAGCCCAATGTAAATGTGTATTAATTTTGATGTCAAATAATAATCCTGCAAGACAAATGGTGGCATTTTGTCTTATTTATATCATTTAAGTACAGTCCTGTAAAATGTACTAATGGAAGTCTTGCAGTATTATAACTATAGTCAGGTTGAATAGTTCATGCCTCTAGGTATCACATGTTGAATGATATCTACTGGGTAGCAGTAAGATAATCAACTTGCCTGATATAAATATCTACGACGATGATATTTTAATTTCTGAAAATTGTCACAGATTTATAAGAACAAATGATTAGACAAACAATGAATAAACAAGAGCCCAAGAGGGTTAGGCTATCAATATATTAAAAATTTCTGTCCACAATATTCCTCAAGAAGGAAAATGTCTAAAATTGCTAAAAAGGTTGTTCTGCGGCCTTGTGAACTCCATTTTGAACCAATCTGAATAAAAAAGAGAGAGAGAGAGAAATGGGGTTTAATGTCCACTCGACACAAACTAGGTCATTTCAGGACTAACATATGATTTAATTTTATTTCAATAATTCGCTTGCGCGTAGGGGTCTTTAGCAGTGGGAGGAAACCGGAGGACCTGAAGAAAACTACGAGGTTGCACAGGCGACCCTACTCCTTGTCACGTACAACCATGGATTCGAAACCACGCCAGTTTACTCAATGACAGGCCTTATGATACAGCACGCACGTGCTAACCATTCGACCATCCAACCCCCCCTGAATAAAAATCACCCCACCTAATTTAGTTGAAATCGGTAATAAAGTGGAGTATGAGAAGAAATCTAAATTTGTCCAGTCGATCCCTATCGGTCCTGTGAACTTCATTTTGAACATAATTTGGCTGAAATCAATAATAAAGTGGTGTATGAGATGAAGTCTAAAATTTCCCTTTCAAGTGACTGCTACATGGTGTCAATGAACTGCATTTTAATAGATCTGAACTAATCTGAACAAGAACTGCCCAAGGTACATAATGACCAAATTTGGTTGAAATACATTCAGCAATGTTGAAGAAGTTGAATATGCAAAAAAGCTTTTAGAAGATGAGATAATGGATGGCCAACAAGAGAGCCTTTCAGGGTTTTGGCTCGATGGGCTAAAAAAAAGAAAACATTAATAAAACAAACATATAAAACAAAGAAACAGAGAAATGGAGAAAAAAAACACAAATGGTAAAGGTTGAAGTTGAAATGTGTAACATCAAGAGTAAGAAACAGAAATTCATCATCAAGGTATTTAGTAACTGGCAGAGTAATAATCTATAAGAATTAATATGGAAAACAGCTACTAATTTAGTAATACATTTGGTTTAAGAACGGTGAGAGAACACTCTTCAAAAAGTTGCCCAAATATATTAGTAGTTGTTTTCCATAAGTATTTGTTATAGTTATTATTCATTACAAATAAATATCTTTGTCTGTTGATGTCTTTTTAAAACTACTAATGTAAATAACAACTTATTAACTACCGGTATACCAATTGTCAACAGTCAACTGAATGATATATATAGCAGATAGTTTTGTTTGTAAATGTCTTATTTACCTCTTTAGCTTCACCTATTAGTTTAACCATACCAGATAATAATACTGCATCAAACATCTTAAACTTGGTAGCATCACAACTTAAAATATACATTGTTTGATATATGAGCGGCATTTAGTAACTGAATGAGAATAAAATATGACATAATTATATGGAATACAAGTTACTTAGCTTTGCTTGATAAAGACAAGAGAACCCTCGTCGAAACGTCACCAGAAATAAACTTCTAAGTAACCTGTATTTCATTTAAACATGCATTATGCAAGAGCAAAATCTGCTTATTACAAGTCTTTCTTTAGGCCTGAAATGTTATCTAAATTGTCAATTAGACATTAATTAACTTATCCAGACCATAATAAACTCTCGATGTCAAGGCTAGCCTTCGATGTTGGCTGGATTAGATTCCTATATGCCGCTAACGGACATTGATAATTAAATCAAAAAAAGTGGATAATCGAGACTATGCTGTTTATATTAATGATTTTAGTAATGATGACCGAGACTATGCAAAAATTTCACCCGCTTCTTTCTCGGCTCATAGTGGATCAATTTCACTGAAATTTTCAGCAAATTACCTTTACACTATCTAGTTTTTAACTATTATAGCGAGGACTGCCATCTCTTTATCTTATCTCCCATAATGTATCTTTAATTGTTTTATAATAAATTCATACAAATGATTATAGGTGTACATACCTATGTATAATGATAATGACAAGAAATGAAATACAATGTGGTTCAAAGTCCTACTGTTCTGCCCCGACTGGTTTAATGAAGACGGCATATGCCATACAGCGTACTATGAGGGAAATTTTGCCAGGACAGCAGCGCTACAGCAGACTTTTATATCAAATTTAACTGCCAAGGTTTTTTTTCCGTCCATGTCAATGTGTACACAGGGCCTCGGTTTTTCGTCCCATCAGAACGACTATACGTTGATAATAAATATGTACTAGTTGGAATTCACACTCTAGGCATTTACATTTTTAATATACTAGTGGTCACATCAAATGCTCATCATTTGTATGCTTGTTGCTATTCGAATATTCAATTGCATATACATAATCGAATTTTAATTTTGTTTGGTGAATTTTCAGGGATCTGTAGAAATTGTGAACTGTTCAAAAAAATATTTTTTTCAGTTTATTTATCTTGAAATGTTTGTTATATTCTTCATTTATTCAATCATTCTCTGATGTTTTAATGACAGATAAATATAATTTTTAATTAAATCTAATTTCTCAACTGACAATGACAAATGAAAATATCCAGTACAGGAATCAATGAAAAAAATATTGTGAAAAAAATATCATGTAAGGTAAACTTACTTGTAACAGATATGATGAACAAATTGAACAGCCATTATACGAAGTTTTGCATTGAGATTTGCTCCAAATAAACAATCAAATACAACCTGTAACATGAACACCAAATATAATGTAAATACAAAATATAATATAAAGACATGTACAAAATATAATATAAACACAAATACTACAAACATAAATACAATATTAGCACAAATACAAAATACACTATAGATATAAATATAAAATACAATACAGACATAAATACAAAATACAATCCAGACATAAATACAATATAAACACACTGACAAAATACACTATATACACACAAATACAATATAAACACACAATACAAAATAAACATGCATATTACCGGTAACTGGAATTTTGTAAAAAAATAATTGAGAAAAACATTTTTCTTTTTGAAGTTCTCACCTGAATACAGGAAGGGAACATACTGACAGCTTCTTTAGATTTCAGGAAAAAGGGGAAAATTTTCAGTCTTATTCTTGTACAAACAGGAACTCTTCTTTGTTCTGGTTTTACAGCTGTCTAGAAAAAGATAGACACCAACCTCAAAACAAGTAAAGGATGCAAATCTTATTATATTAAGTGGTCTTAATCCAAATCTTAAATTAAAAGTTTAAAAGACTCTCACAGAAGATTAGCCACACCCACACATATTATATTAGAAAATGTTGAGTTGAAATTACCTGCCCTTTGATTACAACTGTTCCTTGAAATATTCTATATAATTTATTTAATATCTCTGTTGAGTTCCAATCTATACTTCTGTAATGACAAAATTCATAACAAGCTATGTAATCATTATGTTAATTCTTATTTAACAGCCTGAATAACCATTATTTACCCACCTCATTATTCGACTAATGCAAAGCACCTTCTCTTTTCGGTCATGGAGTTATTTTTAGAGTCTGCCCTTTACATTAAATATTAAGTATCAGTTTAATGTTAATTATTCTCTACATTTCTAGTGACTTCAGGAAACCGACAGTGGAATATGAACCGCTAGATATACAATGCAAAAGCAGTGAATATCGAAAATTCAATTTGTCAATTTGATAAATGAATTGAATGTGATTCTGAATAATCAAGTGATGACAAGTGAAAAACAAGCCAACAGTGAGGCTGATGTCCCCCGCCGAAATAGGAAAATAATTAGAGGACACATATAAATTTATCACAAATTATCTTTTACAAAGTATTGAACAATCAAACAGTATATCTTTACTTATAGTCTAAGCATACAATGTTTTTGATGGAATAATTATAGCATATTAAGGGGAAAACATGCTCTATGCCTACAGATCTAGAGTTTGGTTGTATCAACGGGTCTATTTTCCATCTTGCTGCAAGTTGTGCAAAGTTCACTGTTTTCTTTCTGTCATTAAATGTCAATTCATTATTGCATACTACATATTTAATTAATTTATAATAGTTTCTTTTTCAATTTGTTTTTTCCATTTATTTGTTTATTTACCTTGCCTATATTCATTGTATTGGATTGTATTGGAATTGCTCAATTGATGCTTTTATCAATACCTGGTTATAATATTATGACATGTAATGTGGCAAGTTGAGTCGGGACATGTAGGCTATAATGTAACCTAAATGTATACATAAGTGGATTTCGTTTCATTTTTTTCGAAAATATTGTACAGATAAAAGAGGAGGAATTACAGGGGTAATACATTGGAAAGCTTCTTCAAGAACTAAAGCATAAACTATATAAACGAGCTTATAAAAAGGAAAAGTTTGTATAAAGACGTTTCGTTTGCACAACTGGGTGATGATAAATCACGTTTTGTCTTTCTAGCAGACGACACCGTTTTACGGCGAAAGCACGCGCTCTATTTGTGACGCTTAATTTATTTTATTATTCACTCGACGTCATCACTTAGTAGACTTACTATTTTTAATATGTTGTCTTCGGTATAAAGCTGTTTATGCACAAAACCAAATACTATGACATAGAATATTTTGTTTCATGGTTTATCGGCATTCTATTTGTCACTCATTCTATCGCTATTTATAGAATAGGCTACCTTGGTTACACAACTACGGTACCAAATGTATCTATTAATAAACTGCTCCCACTCCCAGGCTACAATTTGTACATGCTGTGTCTGCTAACAGGTATTTCCTAGATATCAACGGTCAAATTTCCCCGAATATTATTTTACATTTCTGTGATATGTGAAAAGGTTTGTTAAAATTAAATATTGAATACGATTTTATTGGAATGTACCAAGTTTCATCAATCTCACTTAATTAGAACTAAAGTTATCGTGTCCCAAAGCATCAACCAATCAAATTGCTTATCTCTGCTTACCCTAAGCGGAAAATGCTCATCTTCGAACTCCATCAATGCATTGACCTAATCAACACATACACCAAGTTTGAACATTCTAGCTCAATTAGGAAGAGAGTTATCGTGCCCCAAAGTATCAACCAATCAAATTGCTTATCTCTGCTTACCCTAAGCGGAAAATGCTCATCTTCGAACTCCATCAAGGCATTGACCTAATAAACACATACACCAAGTTTGAACATTCTAGCTCAATTAAAAGTTATCGTGTCCCAAAGCATCAACCAATCAAATTGCTTATCTCTGCTTACCCTAAGCGGAAAATGCTCATCTTCGAACTCCATCAAGGCATTGACCTAATCAACACATACACCAAGTTTGAACATTCTAGCCCAATTAGGAAGAGAGTTATCGTGTCCCAAAGCATCAACCAATCAAATTGCTTATCTCTGCTTACCCTAAGCGGAAAATGCTCATCTTCGAACTCCATCAAGGCATTGACCTAATAAACACATACACCAAGTTTGAACATTCTAGCTCAATTAGGAAGAGAGTTATTGTGTCCCAAAAAGTGTGACGGACAGACAGACGGACAGACAGACGGACGGACAGACGGACAGACAGATGGACAGACAGACGGACAGACAGACAGACGGACGAACCCATTTTAATAGTCCCCTGCTTTCTTCGAAAGGCGGGGGACAATAAGAAAAATAAACTAAGCAAATAATAAATTACCCCATAATTCTCTTTAGCTCCATATCTGCTGAAGTAGCCACACTATAAAAGAAAAAAATTTATAATAGCAATTTCAAATGATTATGTTAATTATTTGTTATTCATAGTTTAACTTAGTATAAAATTCTCTTTAATTGCAGGGCACAGGTAAATTTTATATAGTCTTAGATAATAAGCCATGAAAACTGGGGCTCCAACTGAGGAAGACAAACATAATGTTAATTAGATGTTAAACTACAGTATAAAAGTTGTCTCTTATCTACCCTATATACCAATTAGTTTATTCTATACCGGTAATTACCTATGTTTAGTATCAGACAGTATTATAATATAATTACCTATGTCTAGTATCAGACGATACTATAATATAATTACCTGTGTCTGGTATCAGATGATGCTATGATATAATTACCTGTGTCTAGTATCAGATGATACTATAATATAATTACCTATGTCTAGTATCAGACGGTACTATAACATAATTACCTGTGTCTAGTATCAGATGATGCTATGATATAATGACAAACGATATCAGATTCAGCTAAAATATCAGCTCCTAGAAACGTCAATATACCAAGTTTGGCTTTCTCTAGGCTTTCTGGATTCATGGGATTTTCACCTAATACTCTTTTTAAACCATATTCACTTAATCCAGGAGGAACTGTGACCGGTCCACTTGCTGTACTGGAAGCTAATGCATGAGCACTGACAAAAACAGAAAATGTTCCATTACTAATCATTATTTCAATCAGATATTGGACTCGGTATAATACAATTCAGTTTTTTGAAACAATTTACAAGAATATGAAATGTGAATGAGCTTCAGTGATATAAAATATAATCTGAATGATCTGTAAACATGTGTGTTGTTATCAGACCAACTGAATAAAAATGTGTCAATGTCTATCCTGACAAGTATTTTTTCGTTGCTGGCTTTACAGATTTACAAAATTACAGTTAATAAGACTTCCCAAACTTCAGGAGTCCCATCAACGAATCAATAACTTAAACAAATCCATGAGGATTATCTGAATTATGTAATATTCTGATAGTCATGCTCTGGAAAAAAAAGATCAGGTTGTTGGAGTCTCAAAATTGGTGTCGTGTCACTGAATATTGAGAATCTGGTCCAACAATGCAAGGATAATGACAGTTGTTTGAGGTCTTACTAAAATCTACAGGCAGATTCAGTAATATATAGTTAGGTAATTACCTGTAAGGCAGAAGTAATATATCCATCATATAATCTAATAATAGTTTAGATATTTGAGGTTTGTCTCTCAGCTGAAACATGGATTGACGTTTCTCAGCACTGGATGGAAATTTAAGATACTGTAGAGCTGGTATCATTAGCAGAAGTAAACTGAAATTATATCACATAAAAAAAAACAAATATTAAAATATAAAGTAATTTTGTGATGTTTGGCGTTTTCTTTCTATGGAATAAGTGAAATATCAAAACGTGTTGGGTCTAAGAAAATTTGTTAATTTCTAGCAGTTTTTTTTAAATATAATTACCACAAACAGTTTGCAAACAAAATATTAAAGTGTAATAATAAAAAATGTGCAATCCTGTAAATTTACCTATTTTGCTGATTAACTGGTCTACCTTCTAAACAATTAATCAACATAGGTAATAATTCAGCTTGTTTTACTTGCTCTAATCTCGGATATCCCATCTTGATGTACAAAATTGTAAAATTCTGAAAATTAAAAGATTGTACATTACAGTTCATGGTCACAAAAAGACATTAGAAATACATGTTCAAAAACAGTTAAAGCCATCAACTAAGTCAATGTAATGATTCATCCCCCAAAATACCCACACAAAATTATTAATATAACATTTAAAGTATCTTCCAAGACATGAAATTTACTATTTGATTCCTGCACAATAAACCTCACACACAATAAAAAAAAAAAAAAAATTTTTTTTACAGTCAGTGTTATATGGATAATATTACTTTCTTTTAAATGCACATTATTCCGAACTAAAAGGCAAATATAGATTTCCGTACATCTTAAAAAATCAACATATCAAAAAAGTATGGTGGTCCAAAAATCATTCAAATCAATCAATTCTGTGATATGGTCATCTAAAGTTCCCATCACTTTCTACTGATTTTATGATGTCTTTTTGTTCTAACTTAGAACATCAGTCAGCTTCTTCAGAATAACCATGAACATCAAAATAAAAACATCATATAACCTAGTTTTGTTTTATTTAATTGCCAGATTGCTATCTAAATAACACAATTCAACCTGGTTATATTTCATTAAAGAAACTGACTATTAGCTTTCTGCCAAACTCAGGTTTTACCTTACTAAGAACATAATCATCAACTTACAGTTACAAATGGAGTGGCTGTTGGATCTTGAAATTGTGTTAATAAAGCTTCTACAGGTAGTTGTACTTTATTTCTACTTTTTAACCTCTTATTAATGTGAACCAATAACTCCATAACCTGAAAAAAAAAGTTACTTTCCTTTTAAATCTATGCTTTATTAGGAAACAGAATTATAGCCCCAGTTGACATATTTAAGAAAATCGAGGGAATCTGATAGTCTTATAACTGCTGTAGCCATGAATAAATATAAAAGTAGACATTTGCATCAATGATCTTAAACTTAAAGGGGCTATCCCGATTTCAAAAGAGTCTCAAAAATAAAAGTCGGAGTACGTATGAAATGTAAGCGCCAAAATATAGAGGAATGGTGTATTTACCTTCTCTCAAAATTCCAGCTTAAAATATTGAGTCGTTTGGACGTGAACGTCAAAACTGCTTATCCGGACACGTAACCCTTTTAAGATTTCGGGTCAGTTTTTTCGTTGGGTGACCTGATAATCGATTCCCGTTCCTTGAGAGGTCTATATAGTGAATGGCCCATGTGCTCTACTTGATAACGAAAGGTAAATCTCACCTACACATTATTATTATAAAATAAAAGTCTAGTTTTATGCAGACATCGCATAATACAGCTTGGGACACTGGTCTCCATTTCCAGATGAAGACTGGCGGGTTAAAGTTGTTTGAAAACGTATCACAAATAGTGAGTTAGTTGCTCGGCCCTTAGCTAGAGGAATTTAAGGGATTTTAACACAAAATTAAGCAGTTTTATTCTGCAAAAAATATCAGGATTAGCCCTTCAAGATGGATTTAGTTTTATTGTTCTTTATTTTCCAAATTTCACAATTTTTATCCTCTGTGAACAGACTTTATCAACATCCCAAACATGATTTCGATGAAATTGATTCAAACTCTTTCATATTTCGTTCTTCTGGAAGCCAGAATGCAGAACCGTTTGTTTTCCAGGTCTATCGTATATAGCCCATGCAAAATATATAGCTGATAATTAGTAAAGATTTAGAATATTCAAATCAATTTATATTATTTCATATAGAACTTTAATTAGGATTTTTCAAATTTCAAAGGACTGTTTGCACCTTGCTATAATCTCACCAAACCAGTGTATTGACCTCTAGCATAGAGTGCAAGGACAGGATTATAGTACATGAAATACCCTCTAGATGTTGACAGTGAAAATTGAAAGTATGTTTATTATGTGGATGTACATGTAATAATGTATTGTTTACTAGATTTAATGGATAAATATACCAGCAAGTGAAATGAATTCAATGACTATGCAGAAGAGTTGTTTGCAAAAGATGAAAGAAGTGCTATAGAAATAAAGCAAATAAAAGCTAGCAAAAAGTAGCCAAATTTATTTGATTATTTTGATACGGCTGAATTACTGAACTGATAATGACACTACCCCATTCATCTTTACATAGCAGTAACTTAAACATTCAAGTCCAATTTCAAACCATAAATTAAATTAAAAAAATCATTATTACTATTATATTTTATTATATTTACATGTACAATGTCTTTGGTAAAATCTCATCCTTTTACAAATAAAAGTAGACCCTATTATAATTACATTCCCCCTTTTAATCCTTTGCAGATTTCTTGCATATTAGTCAAGGACCAAAATTGCATATATTCTCATGGAGTTGTAATTGACATCAATTCTATTCATCTCAAATCAAGCTAGATGTGACAAAAAAATACATGCTTCAGTGGATAACTAAGGGGGCATGAATTAAAATATGTGCATTGCAACCTTGCAACTGAATAAAACTACACAATTAAGGTGTGGAAATACACCAATAAAGCAGCTATGCGTCAACAGCAGCTTATCTGAGGAAAAATTGAATGTCAACAAATTCAGGCTCTGTCACTGTAACCCAGGTATCATTTAATCTTGTGTATCTAGCACTAATTTCTTTCACATTGGTTTAATATCAAATCTTTGTTTAAAAATTCATAAAAATCATTTAAAATCACCATAAATCATCTAATTTGTACTTCTGTCCAGTTTAAAGCTGACCATTCAATTTTGATAATGAGTGTCCAATTTACAAGTGTTAAATTTCTCAATCACTTTTAAAAAATAAACAACCCAATTGATTAATGATGTATAATGATTAATTTTTGAACAGTGGTCTGGAAATTAAATACTTCTAAATTGAAAACTCATTATTAAAATTAATCAGTCAGGTTTAAACTGGACACAAGTACAAATTAGATGATTTCAAGTGATTTTAAATGATTTTTATGAATTTTTAACAAAGATTTGATATTAAACGAATGTGAAAGAAATTAGTGCTAGATACACAAGATTAAATGATACATGTGCCTGGGTTACAGTGTGTGTAGAAACCGACAGAACACAAGCACATAAAAAATTTCATGACGGATGGGATTAGAAGAATAGATGGGAATGCTGCTATCAAGGTAGAATTCACACCTCGCACATTTAACCATAGACATAAAATTTAAAATCACAACATGCTAGTCTCAAAAAGATAAGGGCACATTTCCAACAGGGTGAGGGTGGGTCTGGAATCTCCTAAAAGCAGTTTGACTTTTTATCTTTTAATGGCATGTAAAAATATCATGCTATGATTAAATAGAATTAGAATATACTTAATTAATTAAAACATGCCAATCCTCAAAAAAACTTTTGTTTAAAATAATTTATGTTAATAGAATTTACATTAACAGTTATCCACAGGCACATTTTTATGTATAGCTTTTAATGTGCCTTTTTTTAAGACCGTGAAGTAAAAAGGCATGATAGTATCACACTGCCGTTGCCATACAAGATCCGCCCACATTTTGCAAGAGATGGACAGTGAACAAGCTAAAAAAAAAACGTGATTTTTCGTACAATCGGTGGCCACAATCCAGAAAATTAAGGCTGATATGCACGAATATCAAAAGGAACCGAGTTCTTTGGGATATAAATATTTTAAGTTTCATCAAAATCAGATAAAAATTGTGACCTCTAGGGTGTTCACTAGCTAAAATCGTGATTTTTCGAACAATCAGAGGCCATAATCCATGAAGTTATGGTCTGATACATGCCAATATCGAAAGGAACAGAGATCTCTTGGAGATAAACCTATATTTTAAGTTTCGTCAAAATCGGATAAAAATTGTGACCTGTAGAGTGTCCATTACCAATTGATGACGGACGGACGTCCAGACGGACTGGTGCAACAACAATATACATCCACATGAAAATGTAGGCATATAAAAAAATGTAACGACATGCACCTAATTTATTACCTTAGTTCGAATGCCATCTTCTGAACTGTTTAGTTTAAGAAGAATTGGGGTGAGAAATTTTCCAAGAGCCACTTCAAGTTGTTCATCTGTGTCTGCAGATCCAATTCTCAAAAATACTCTCTCTACCAAGGCTGAAGAAATTAAAAAAAACCATATCTACATGTATGTAAACATATATCGATTCTTTACAGTCTTGTACAGTAATGTGCATGTTTTCTGTTTTGCTTCACTTTGTTGCAATTATTACAGTAGTCTAAAGTATTCCATTCTATTATTTGCAAAAAAAAAAAAAATGCTGCATACATATGTACATACATGTACATCTCGAAAAATAGATCTCTGTCGCAGCAATAGAACTATGTATATTTTTCTCCAAAAATTGATATGGCTGTACTGGTATATAACTAAAAGGTGGCCGAATGCAAATGTTAAATGTATTGAGTGAAATATGATACAAGGTCCATTCAGAGATGAAACATTCCAACTGAGAGTTTGAACTACATATTTTACAGTAGTTGTTTGGAAATATCTTGATTATCCAAATACATTCATTCTACTCCATTGTATAATACTTGTTAATAAAGACGAAATGTACCTAACTATTTTGGTCTGCATAGGTCCTTAAATCTGAAGGCAGGAAGCCATGGACTTGGTGGCTCTGTGAGTAAGGCATTAACTATCTAACCCAGAGGTCCCAGGTATGTTACCTGTGTTGGCCGAGAAAGTACCTCAGGATTTTTGTTGTGTGGTTTCTCCTTGTCAGTGGTGCTAGACGAAGGCCTTGTCACAAACAGTGTCTAGTTGTTTGGATGAGACAGTAACTGAGGTCACTCCCTGTCAGTGGTACTAGACAGAGGCCTTGGGTATGGGTGGGACGAAAGCAAGGTCACAAGTAAAAGGAATGAAATAAAGAAATGGGGCTTACAGTAACTTTTCTGCATCATGTAGGCTAATGAAGACAGAGAGAGAGAAATGGGGTTTAACGTCCACTCGACACAAACTAGGTCATTTCGGGACTAACACATGGTTCAATTTTATTTCAATAATTCGCTTGCGCGTAAATGTCTTTAGCAGTGGGAGGACACCGGAGGACCCGGAGAAAACCCACAAGGTTGGACAGGCAACCCTACTCCTTGTCACGTACAACCGGGGAATTGAAACCCCGCCAGTTGACTCAATGACAGACTGTATGATACATGTACAGCGCGCGCGTGCTAACCATTCGCCCCCCCCCCCCTAATGAAGACAGGCATACACAATAAAGTGTCTAGTGAGCTATGGTTACTGAGCAATGAGCCACCTTTGGTATTTGATGAAGAGTAGGCCTACATGTGTCGATGAAAGTGCAGTTGTCAGGGTAAATTTGCTAAAACAGTAACAGGAGGACGTAACTAAAAATGTTGAGATATACTGATGTGCTTGTTTTTAGCTACGATTGGGTGCCTTTGGTTTCACTTGGCAAACTTAATATCTTTATTAATGCATGTACCATCTTAAAAATAAATTAATTTTATACTATTAGTACTTATTACACATACGCAACCCAATCTACTGAAACAACATTCATTTATCAGCAAATATTGACAATAAAGTAAATCAAGCGTTGTTTTTATCAAAATTGATACAGACATTCTTACATGTAATTACGGCATATTACTCCTGCGCAACTCTGATCAGGTTAGTACTTTGATTGGCTATTGCAGATTACATGTCATTTCGGTCCCGCGTCATTTCAGACTAAAAAAAATATGGCCTTGACGTTTCGGTCTTGGGCAGGTGACATTTCGGACTCGAACAGGTGACGTTTCGGACTCGGGAATAAGTTGAAAGGAAAGGTTGAACACAACTGTCATCGTTTCCCGTTAAAGTAATTTATTTTTTTTAAAAAGAATAATATGCTGTAGAATTTATTTCAAAACGACCTACACAAAAAACAAAAGTAAATATTTACTCGACATGCATTGCTTTTACAAGCCCCTAGAATGTTTTAACGATAATCCGGAACCTACACCTTGACACGCATTCCTCGACAAGCTTGCCATAGATAGCAGTACACTACCAATCGATAAATTAAAATTAGTGCGTACAAAGAAAACTCTTTTTTGAAAATATTAGAAATGGCAACGATCAAAGTGGGTAATTAAAGATGATTAACCGGTAATTCCTATGTTATTGTAGTATGCGCAAAGAAACCTTACATTCTTTAGTGGATGAGGAAAAACGTGAGTTGTCAATCAGCGATAATGGCTGCCGTGTATTGATTCGATTTTTCCGACTCATGTAAAAGAAATTTAGGCTTTCACAAATATAAAAACATTAGCAGTATTACTAAATATGCACAAATTTTCAACAATATTGTATTGTCAAGTTCAGTACTCGCCGATGAAACAAAACAAAATAGAACAAGCAGTGTAAAATCAGTGTTATCTTTTTATTAGCAGTCTCAAGAATCGCCGATCAATTAAATAAAACAAAACTACTATCGGACTCGCATAAAACGAATAAAAAAATCAAAAAAAAATCAGCTGTTACAAATATAAGCTTATCACACAAATGTTCAACAGTCTTTTAATTATTCATCTGAGTCCGAAATGTTGCCAGACTGAGTCCGAAAAGTCGTCAAGAAAAATCTGAACCGTCGTCAAACTGAGTCCGAAAGGTCGTCTGTGTCGAGTCTGAAATGACGCGGGACCGAAATGACATGCTACCGCTATTGCACACGAGGCCCCACCTTTATGTGTTAAAGACATAAAATTAAAATGTCAGAGAAAGCAATCTATTATCGCTTCAATTTAAAAAGAGGGGATTTGTACCCGTGTCAAGTAGGACTTTCTGCTTAATTGTAGTTGGGTGTGGTAGAAATGTTATAAATAACAATATAATCAATCGTTGTTTTGATGAAAAATATTGCCAATTTTGCTTACTGAGGCCCGATGTGATTCGCCTTTGGCTTTGCTACGTGGAACTATATAGGACCATCTCTTAGTCTTATCTCGAAACACGGTGGGTTGAGAGATGAGGTTTGTTATCTAGTAAATCATAATCTGTTATAATCATGTATTAGTATTAGTAAATTATTACCACTACCAGGTAAGTTTAATTTGTACTAAGAAAGTAAATGAACTGACCAACAATCGACCACGATTATTTCTAAATAGATCTATGTGGCGTCTGCTTTTAAGACCCGTACAGTGTGTATCTTATGATACTACATTTTTGGCAGTATTTGATTCCACGAGAAAGTCAAGACACAGCCAGAAAGCCAAAAATACACAATAAAAAAAACATTGTTTTGGATTATCCAAAAGTAACACCTGTGGTGGAATTGGTGCCACATTAAAATAATAAAGCACCCATTAGAGAACAGATATTTCTAACCCGGGGATAGCTAACAACGTACCATTCTCGTCCATCGCTGTCATTTTAATTTTTACAAAAGTCGTAGAAAGAATATTCTTTTCCTCAAATTTCTTCTGTCATTGCCGCATTTAGATAAGGTCTACCAGACTAGTTTTTATCATGTACTGTTCCAATTCCTTTTCCAGTCTGGATATCGAAAACAAAAACGGAAGTTAACCAATTTAGTAAAATCTGTATTAGGAAAAGAACTGAAACGAACTGTTATAAAACGAAACGGAATAATATGCACTATTATCCCATTATTTTTATTCCGCATTTGTTGATTTGAGAAACTGTCGGACCATTTTTCATAGACAATACGTTGAGATCGTTCTCCTTCCTTCCAGAACGAATCCACGAAGTTCTTTTTTCAATCCAATTTAATTTAGGACTTTGGGATATAAAGATTCACACATTAGGACATTGCCCTGGACAGAGGGATACAATATTTATTTTTATAATCATACAAAATATTCCGACATTTCGACTTTAAAGAATAGTGGAGGCAGTGCAGGAGTATATGGGTAAAAAAATGGTCAAGCGCTATCAGTTCATTAGCTATTGTTACATCTCGAGACAATTTGCAAATGTGTGTTCATTTCATTAGTTAACAAATTGGCCATGGTCGGATATGCCCCTGGACCGTAATTAGGGTAAACGTTAAATTAGGGCTAGGTCCAGGGTTAGGGTTAGGATTGGGATTAGCGCCAGCCCCGTTATACATTGGAGATAGATCCAAGTGTTAAAATTCTCACAAGCAATCCATCACACAATAAACAGTTTGGTTCTTAGCAATTTATATTTCAGCTAAGCGAAATATATAGGAGCGACAATTTATAAACTCACGGTTTGTTTCTGTGGGATCCTTTTTTATAAGCGAGCGTATTAAAGTAGCTGAAACTCTAACTCAATATTTTCCATAATATTCGAAATTAAAAACAGAACTTGGAATTCAATATTTGTCCATTTCAGTCGATATTGATGTTGTTATGTTACCGTGAAAATGTGGGATCCTATATCCAATATTTAAGACAAAATGGACATTTTAAAATCCGTACACAAATCGTTTCGGGCGCAAAAGGAATGAACAAAACAAAACCAACTTATCCTATGCGGGAGTAATTGGTAATGGCTGATTCACAAATGATAAAATAATATTAAAAAAAACCCGTGAAGAATGGATTAATTAGGCGTAAACGATTGTCGTTCGAATTGGACTGTTCGCGTAATTCACCGAACATAATTGATTAGAAATTGCAATAATTATTTGGGAAATTGAATATAAATCACTTTATGTACACTCATATTACATGTGCGTTTAGACCCATTTATGGTTCCAAAGAGTAGAGCCATGCGCCCGTTAATACATTTTAAGGGAAGGATATTTCGTAGAAATTTTATATTAATTTACAATCTTTCAGGTGATACATCTACACATTGGCGTACCCGTAAAATAGCCCTTGACAGCTGGAATTCGACATATCCGTAGTGCCGCTGTCCGGGCAAAAATCCCTCATAGCATACACCATCATCCGTGTACGGGGCATCATTTCGTTTTAGCGAACAACATGGAGATACTATTCTGTTTCTGGAACTGGACTTCAAAACACCTAACCAGAGTTGTAAGTTTGAATATTAAGTTGAGTTTTGTTTTTTCATTTGTAAAAGATACGGTCAACCACAAACTTTTCATTCTTATTAATGTTAATCATGTATGCATATTTTCATTTAGTCATCTTCTTGAATAAACCATTCATTCATTAAAAGCTTAACGTCATGAAAACTTTATCGTGATAATCTATATATCCTGGTACATCTTAAATAATTACGCATTTTACCCCTTTGATTTGCTTATCTCTTTATTCTACAAGTGCCCGGGATAAATAGCAATACATACTATAGCATTTGCTCGTGTATCTATTTATATGTAGGGTATATTTCATAACATTCCTTGCGTATACATATATATATATATATATATATATACATATTCATGGATCTTGATATCGTCACAGAGAAGGAAGTAATATAAAGACAATAAGGCAGCCGATATCACCGGCTTTCATTTATTGATAATGTAATCGTGTATGATGTTACTACATCAAAAATCATTTGATATTCGTATTAACATTTGAGTAAGCAATGTGCAAGTTCGCGCCAATCTGGATTTTGTACCCCGAAGTTGGTAAGTAATGTTAGTTAGATGATACGCCCATGTTGCATTTAAATCGGAATTTATATAGTTTATTCTGTTGTTTATAATTAAATTCTGTGCATAGCAGGGGTAAAATATCTCTTAAATCGTATTTAATAATACATGCTCGTAGTATTTTTGTGGTCCAATTCAACTGTGTAGTTATGAGGAGAATAAGTTCAGAAAACAAATCTAGTTATTTATGCCTGTTCTTTAATTTGTTTGTTAAAACATATTAAATAACACATGCGCATAATATTGAATGTCTGGTCCGTTATTGTTGAGTGTATCCATTTCATTACTATTTGTAAGTTCTAGTGAATACTCCAAAGTGTTGAAATTTTATTAATTCCACTAATTCTCAAATATGGGGCATTAATCTAAACTAGTGAATTATGTGTTCATGTGTGTTTAATGATGATAATAATAACTTGAACATGCAAACTTTTTATCAAATGTCTCCGATTATTTCAAAACGTCCAACATAAAATTAAAATTTTGAAAAGTAGGTCGAACATAAACTTTGATATAGCAAATGTAAGCAAAATGATGGATATAAAATTTAAAGCAATTATTATTTATTATACGGTTCAACGATCGTCACTTATTGTATAAAACTTTTAAAAGCTAAAGCAATTAAGGCTCAAAGGTCATCAACCATTCATCATGGGCGTCCACAGCTAGGGTTTCTTATATTATACTTTCATCAAACATTTTCATCAAATATAACCTAGATGATTTAAAGTGGTCTAAATGCTTTCTATAACCTAGATGATTTAAAGTGGTCAAAATGCTTTCTATAACCTAGATAATTTAAAGTGGTCAAAGTACTTTCTATAACCTAGATGATTTAAAGTGGTCAAAATGCTTTCTATAATCTTATAACAAGTATGATAAAAATATTTAAGGTTGTTCTGATATGAAAACTATATAAAGGTTAGACACTCAATCAATCCCAGGGGGGTTGGATGGCCGAATGGTTAGCACGCGCGTGCTGTATCATAAAGCCTGTCATTGAGTCAACTGGCGTGGTTTCGAATTCCCGGTTGTACGTGACAAGGAGTAGGGTCGCCTGTCCAACCTCGTGGGTTTTCTCCGGGTCCTCCGGTTTCCTCCCACTGCTAAAGCAAGCGAATTATTGAAATAAAATTAAAACCATATGTTAGTCCCGAAATGACCTGGTTTGTGTCGAGTGGACGTTAAAGCCCATTCCTCTCTCTCTCTCAATCAATCCCAGGGCATTTTCCCCATGGCATTTAAATGCCACCCGATTTTGAATGGTTTGGTGTTTCATTTAGGTCACGGGCATCTTTTCAAGCGAGAGAAATCTTTTTCGATTTTACTGTGCAATTACGCATGGGAATTGTGCATAATTTGAGACTCATCCCTAATATATAATAGGCCTCTACATCTTTTAAGATTCATTACATAGTGTTTTGTACCCTTGGGTGTTTTTTTAGGAGATCTGGGCATGTCCCGGCAAAATGCCTTGGCTTTCAATAGCCATGTGCTGAAATTTTTGATAATTAGGCGTTTATTTTGAATATGATATTATAGAAATCTTTTCTTACAGATGGCAACACCATCCCTTTAATTTGAGATCATCAAAATACATATAAGTAAAGTTTATAACCTCAAAAATAAGTGTCTGTAATTGTATTAAATGTCTCATCATGAAATGTTTATCTTCAAGACACAATGATATATTAAAGGGCGTATAGGTCTTTGAAACCTTAAATTAGACTAAAATGGGTCTAAAAGTACATGTTAATGTGATATGAGTGTACACACTGATCCGCAGTGAATATTCGCTTGGCCGCTACAACCACTGATAAGGAGGATGACATCGATGCGATGCGACTTAATGACTACAAAATATTAACTTTTTTCTTAATAAAAATATTCCATATTTAGCGTAAATAGGTACAGAAAATAGTACGCGGAGGCGTAAAATGGGTAAAACGATGTAATTTTGCCCGTACCAGTTCATATTACTACGTTCGATGTAAACAACGCACTTGTGACCATCAATTTGACGTTTTTTTCTGTTTGTTTACTCTGAATTCTTTCAGAAGTACATTTTTTACCGTCTAATCTGATTGACCTGCTCGTGTTTGTTTTAAAACAACAAAAACAAGCCACAGAAGTAATCTTTTTTGGCGTTATCGATGCCATCTTGCTTTGTTGGTAAACATTGTGATGTGACGTCACCCTTAGAACTACAACGGTCTGACCTTTTAAAGGTCAGTCATCTTGGACAGAGATAAAAGACGGATGTCGCATTAGGTCTGTAAAACAGATTGATGAGTGTATACAAAGTGGTTACGTGCAATCTAAAATTCTTTATTTTAATTTCTAATCAATATGCCCTATGAAATTGTGGATGAACAGTCCCAATAAAATGGCAGTCGTTTGCGCCTACTTAGTCCATTCTGCAGGGTTTTTAAAATTATTATTTTGTGGGATATGTTTTTCTTTATTTATTACAAATGGCGATTTAAGAGAGAACACGACGTTGTGTACTGATTTTAAAATGTTCATTGTATCTGATATATTAAATATTAGGATCCCATATTTTCACGGTAAGGGGTAAAAACATCAATATTGATTGAAATGGACAAATATTGAATTCTAATTTTAATTTTGAATGTTATGGATTATATTTAGTAAGGGGTTTAGCTCCTTTAATCTGCCTAAGCCGCAAAACATTTGAAAGGGAAATGAGTTTCAATAACGTATAGCTTCCCTTTAATTTTCGAAATCTATTAACCGACTACTATGGCTATCATATCTCATTTGACCGTTTGCACACCATTTTAATTTGCCAATTTTTATATGTATTTCAAACCTGTATTACTTGTTCTCCTAAAAATAGCAAACTTTACTAGGTTAGAAACTAAACGGTTGACTTCACAAAACATTTTTTTTTATTCTATTAAAAAGGTATATATATTATTATCTTTGTAAGACATGACGTAATATATGTATATCATTTCAGTCTTGTTGCTGTCATTGGTTAGCTGTGACAATATTGAGTTACATCCGGCTGACGGATATTACAATAACCTATTCAATCCGGATTGGGGCATAACAGGTCAGGATGTATTAACTTTATGATAACTAATTATGAGGTATTATTAGATCCTATCAATTCGCCTGTCGGTCTAGTCCGTAAAACAAATAATTTAACTGATGTACAGAGGTTGTAATTATAATTTAGTCAACCATAACCCCCCAAAATTTTCTAATTCTAATCTAGTTCTACTAGTTCTAAAATGACCCAATACGATGGATCTCCCAATGCAGTGTTGTGATTAAGAGGCGGGGGGGGGGGGGAGAATGGTTTATAGCGTGCGCTTTAGATCATAAGGTTTGTCATTGAGTCAGGTCACGGGGTTTCGGTTCCGGGCTGATACGTGTCACAGGGAGCAGGGTCGCATATCTAACTTCGTGGGTTTTCTCCGGGTCCTCAGCCCCCCCCCCCCCCCACACACACACACACCCACATTTTGCAAAAGATGGATAGAGATCAAGCTACGAGGGGCGGTCCTTTTGTCCGGCAGATTTGGCCCGATTTTCACAAAATTCGAACTCAACCAAAATTACGTTGTAACAGTGATATATTTTAACGTTTTATTTAAATCGGATAATAATTGTGACATCTAGAGGAATCTCAAGCTAAAAACGCAACTTTTCGTACAATCAGGGGTCATAATTAGGGAAGTTACGGTCCGATATGCGCGAATATCGAAAGGAACCAAGATCTTTGGGTTATAAACTTACATTTCAAGTTTCATCAAAATCAGAAGAAAATTGTGACCGTTGGAGGGTCCACAACATTGATATACCATATTTTTATACGTCCACATTCATAATGTGAACGTATTATGCCGTCGCCCCTGTCTGTGTGTGTGTGTGTGTGTGTGTATGTATGTATGTGTGTGTGTGTGTCTGTGGTTCGCCTACAGGGCGCAATTCTTCATGGATTTTCTTCAAACTTGGTATACTTATTCCTTATACCCCAAGGAAGATCCCTATTGTTTTTGGTGCATGCCCGACCCCCCGGGGCAGAGCCACGCCCATTTCTAGTATTTGTTTGTTTGTCGTCTACAGGCCACATTTCTTAACTAATAATCTTGAAACTTTGCATACACATTCTTTGTACCCTAAGGAACATCCCTATCGTTTGGGGTGCATGCCCAACCCCCAGGGGCAGAGCCACGCCCATTTTCTTTTCGTGTGTCTTTGTGTCGCCTACAGGGCGCAATTCTTACTGGATTTTCTTCAAACTTGGTATACTTATTCCTTATACCCCAAGGAAGATCCCTATTGTTTTTGGTGCATGCCCGACCCCCAGGGGCAGAGCCACGCCCATTTCTAGTATTTGTTTGTTTGTCGTCTACAGGCCACATTTCTTAACTTATAATCTTGCATACACATTCTTTGTACCCTAAGGAACATCCCTATCGTTTGGGGTACATGCCCAACCCCCAGGGGCAGAGCCACGGGCAGAGCCACGCCCATTTTCTTTTCGTGTGTCTTTGTGTCGCCTACAGGGCGCAATTCTTACTGGATTTTCTTCAAACTTGGTATACTTATTCCTTATACCCCAAGGAAGATCCCTATTGTTTTTGGTGCATGCCCGACCCCCAGGGGCAGAGCCACGCCCATTTCTTGTATTTGTTTGTTTGTCGTCTACAGGCCGCATTTCTTAACGCATCATATTGAAACTTTGCATACTTTTTCTTTGTACCCTAAGGAACACCCCTATCGTTTGGGGTGCATGCCCAACCCCCAGGGGCAGAGCCACGCCCATTTTCTCTTTGTGTGTCTGTGTGTCGCCTACAGGCCACAATTCTTAATCGACCGTCTTGAAAAAATTTCATATGAATTCCTTATACCCTAAGGATGATCCCTATTGTTCTTGGTGCATGTCCGACCCCCAGTGGCAGAGCCACGCCCATTTCTTATATTCATTGTTTGTTATCTACAGACCGCATTTCGTAACGTATCACCTTGAAACTTTGCATGCTTACTCCTTCTATCCTAAGGAACATCCCTATTGTTTGTGGTGAATGCCCAGCCCCCAGGGACAGAGCCACACCCATTTTCTTTTTGTGTGTCTGTATGTCACCTACAGCCTGCAATGCTTAATCGATCATCTTGAAAACTTTTTTATACTTATACATTATACCCCAAGGCTGACCTCTATTTTTTTGGTGATTGCCCAACCCCCAGGGGCAGAGCCACACCCATTTTTTCTTTGTGTCTCTGTGAGTTGCCTACAGGCCACGATTCCTAATGGATTGTCTTTGAACTTGGGATATGTTTTCCTTATAGCCTAAGGACGACAACTGCATGTCACGACCCCCAGGGGCAGTCATGCCCAATTTTTATGTATATCGTTTACAGGCCCGAATTCTGGATGGATCAACTTGGTATTTGGCATATGTATTCCTTATAGCCTAAGGGCATCAACTATTGATTTTGGTGAATGCCCCAACGCCCAGGGGCAGAGCAACGCCCAATTTTTGCCTTTAACGCCCAAAGGCCACAATTCTGAATGGATTATTTTGGAACTTGGTGTACTTATTCCTTATACCCTAAGGACGGCAACTAGTGATGTTGCCATTTCAATAACAGGATGGTACCTGTTTATATTGTTTCCATATCCAACCCCCATGGGCAGAGCCACGCCCAGTTTTTGTATTTATCGTCTACAGGCTGCAATTCTGAATCATCTTGGAACTTTGCATATTTATTCCTTATACCATAAAGACAGCAACAATTTATTTTGATACTTGCCCGGACCTCTTGGGGCAGTGTCACACCCACTTTACTGTTAGTATTTTGTCTGTAAATTTGGCAAAACAAACCCGACGCCTAGCCTTCTTTGCCTCTGATCATATTACAGCCATTTCATATTTCATTTTCTTCATTTTAAAAAGTACCATATCAATCAAAGCTGGAATGTGGACGTATATTGCAGCGTTAGCGATGCTCTTGTTTTTTTACGCTATTTGAGTACGAGGGGCGGCCATTTTGTCTGTCAGTTTTGGTCCGATTTTAACGAAATTCGAACTCAACCATCCTTAGGGTGTAACGGGGATATATTAAAACGGTGTTTTTTAAATCGGATAAAAATTATGACCTCTATAGGATCCACAAGTTAAAAACGCGATTTTTCGTAGAATCAGGGGCAATAATTCAGGAATTTACGGTCCGATACATGCCAATATCGAAACGAACCGGGATCTTAGGGAGATAAACCTATATTTCAAGTTTCGTTGAAATCGGATAAAAATTGTGACCTGTAGAGTTCCCACAAACAATTGTGGACTAACGGACGTCCCGACGGACGGACGGACAGGGGCAACGACAATATACGGTCTGAATATCGAAAGGAACCGAGATCTTTGGGTTATAATCTTACATTCCAAGTTTCAACAAAATCGGATCGTAGGGAGATACACCTATATTTCAAGTTTCGTTGAAATCGGATAAAAATTGTGACCTGTAGAGTGTCCACAAACAATTGTGGACGGCTGGACGTCCCGATCCGGACGGACAGGGGCGACGACAATATACGCCCACATGAAAATGTGGGCGTATAAAAATTGAATGACCTGGCTTGTGTCGAGTGTGCGTTAAACCCCATCTCACATGGGGGAGTAACACTTACGCATTAGTACTTTCTGGAACACCTGATCCCACGTCTATTTGATGAATTCACATCGCTAACAAATGATGTTTTATCATTGGAGGATCACGGTGGCTTAGCGGGTAAGACGCTGGCTCGCTAACCTGGAGGTCGAGAAAGTTCATCCAGATTTTCCGACGTGGTTCCCCCTTGTCAGTGATGCAGAACGAAGGGCCTGACAGTGCCGCTTTCTGGGTAAAATTTCCCTCATAGCACACTGTATGGCGTATGCCCGTCTTCCTTAGCCCAGTTCGGAGCAGAACAGTAGGACGTTAAACCCCATTTCATTTCATTTTTTTTTTTTTTTTGCTTAGTTTTAAGAGCCCAGTAAACAAATTACACACCTTTTTAATTGTAGGTAACCAACTACGTCGATTGACGCCACCCGACTACAGTGATGGAGCTTACGAACCATCCGGAATTTCTCGACCAAATCCACTTGTTATTAGTGGCATCATACATCGTGGCCAGAGTGGAATGTCTACAGTTTCCAACAAATCGGCACTTATGGTGTTTTTCGGTAACTGCTCCTTTTCATATTTCCAGTTTTACTTTCTGCATGGGTATACATGATCGTTGTTTGATAGATAAGTGACAAGTTGCCGTCAGCCAAACTTGAAGATATCCGGAAGTTTAATTGTCGAATATCGTTATCTCTAGATATAATGGTTTTGCAAGTCTTGCCGCGGTCGTTTCCCTCACGGATGAAACGGTACTTGTAATACAACACTATAGAAACGCTGAGTTTCGAACATTCTTGTCACTATACAGAGAAGATGTTGAGTTAGAAACATTCTAGTCAGTATTAAAGAAACAGCATTGTTTATAATGTTTCCTGTCATTTGAGCACAAAACCATTTAATTCTTTAAATGCTGTTTCTAGTCCTCATTGACACTTGCACAAAAGTGGAATTGGCACCGCAATATTTCTGTTTTAAAGATAGAAGTCGATTCCAAATGCGCTCATTTAAGCATCATATTTTAATTGGTAGCTCAAATACTCGCTACTTGTCTTTATAAACTTGGGAGGAGGTGGGTGACCTAGCTTGTGCCGAGTGGACGCTAAACCCCATTTCTTTCTCTCTCTCCTTTGGCGGGTTGGGTGGCTGAATGGTTAGCCTGCGCGCGCTGTATCATAAAAGTCTGTCATTGAGTCGACTGGCGTGGTTTCGAATCCCCGGTTGTACGTGACAAGGAGTAGGGTCGCCTGTCCAACCTCGTGGGTTTTCTCCGGGTCCTCCGGTTTCCTCCCACTGCTAAAGACCCCTATGCGCAAGCGAATTATTGAAATAAAATTAAACCATATGTTAGTCCCGAAATGACCTAGTTGTGTCGAGTGGACGTTAAACCCCATCTCTCTCTCTCTCTCTCTCTCTCTCTCCCCTTTATAAACTTCACTTTATTATCAATACTGAAGAACGGACCGCAGGCCTTAATAGGATAAGATAAATTATAATGTATAAAATGCACCGGGTGTAGCATTCAGTTACAAAGCAAATCATATCAAAACAAGCATGCATAACTAACGGACATATACGTATATAAACCACGCTATTACAACTGGTGATACATAAAGAGACATAAATACCTAATACAATACATATAGTTTTGGTGTCCACTTATAATGTGTTTACACCCAACCCACCCCCACCAAAAATCCCCCAACAAAATCCCCGCAAAAAACGTCGCTTTGGAAGTTTCGGTTTAGTGTACGTTTCTTTATATGGGCGAGTTTTTTGTCAGTGTTATATAGCACAAAAGAGTCAATGTGTACTAATAGTAATAATATAATAAATCGCAGTGAAGCATAAACCTCGACACTTTTTTTATCATGTTTATTTATATGTTTGTTATGTAAATGTGCATTTTACTATTGTGTACTCATACAATAGTACATATATAGATTCACACTGTCATATGATTATTAAATACTTTTACTGCACTTCACAGACAAAGCGAAATCGTTATATTATACCGAAGAGGAAATCTCAAGTCAAGTGGTGGTTAACGTCTAAAGAACGACAAAAAATGTTTTCACATCACAGACGCTCTTTTGATATACAACAGGAATATCACGTGAAACTTACATACAATATCAATATAGACAAGATGACTCGATTTCTCAAAATAAATTCTTTATTAATGGGGCGTAGGTGTTTGGTTTCTGAAAGATTCAAATTCACACTATGAGGCAATAATATTTTAAACTCGCTCGGCTCGGTAAAAATATAAGTTCACAAATATTAATATCGCCCCCAAAAGAAAATTCGATGTTATAATATAGCTTCAATTTCAAACTGATATAGCCCAGTCATTTTTTGCCCGATTCATTCCAACTATACATCAATGTGAAGGTATTAAGGTAAAGAATGTGAAAATAACAATTACTCAATTTTCAAAATTTCCTCATTGCGACTTAATTTGCTAGCACGGGTCACAATATGAAAGCATTAGAGATTTGATGATATGGGGAGTCTAACTATCCACGCTTAGCGAAAGGCATTCTTTCAACATCACAAATTCAAGTATTTTACTATAAAAGAAACTGTTTTTCGTTCACCGCAAAGACTCGCCGGTTATATAAATCTCCAACCTCGTGGGTTTTCTCCGGGTCCTCCGGTTTCCTCTCACTGCTAAAGACCCCTACGCGCAGGCGGATTGTTGAAATAAAATTAAACCATATGTTAGTCCCGAAATGACCTAGTTTGTGTCGAGTGGACGTTAAACCCCTCTCTCTCTCTCTCTCTCTCTCTCTCTCTCTCTCGGTTATATAAATCATATATGTGTATTTGTAAACACAAGATCTAATAAAAATCACATTGTTTGAAAATGGAAAAAAAAAGATCATCAAAGTTAATACTCTTTTCTCCTAGAAACAGAACCATAGCGCCAATATCATGCACAATTCAGATAACCAAAATATATAAAATATCACGTTATTTATTTCAGCGGAGTATATTGTATAGAACTATAATTATTTTTTTTATTTTTTCGTTACCTATAGGTCAGTTAGTAGCCGATGAAATAATAAATACAGGTAATCCTGGCTGTCCACCGGAATATACTAATATAGAAATACCCGATGATCACCTTTATAGACAAAAAGCTACACATATGACGTATGAAAGAAGTGGTTATGATGCAAGAACAGGTTCTTCTCCGAACAGACCCAGACAACAGGTAAACTGTATAGAGCGTGTTTGATTAATCACTTTCCGGATCAGGATTTCGTTATTAAATAGCATTTGTTCATTCAAGACATTAGCTCTTTACCCAGGCGAGTGTATATAATATCACTAACTAGAGTAAATTATTCATATTATAATCTGCTTTCAAAATAACTAGTAAGTCAGAATGTGAACCAACCGGGATAACGGACGGTGTACTATGAGTGAAACGTTGCCCGGAAAGTTGCGTTTCCTTCTAATGTCATCGAATTCAAACTTCGAGAGATATTTTACATGCATGACAACTATTACATGGGTGGGAGTTGTTTTTCGGCCCACCATAACGACGAGACATTTCTTTCCGCCCGGCACGACTGACAAAGAGAAACCATGAAAATATTTGAAAAACCTGACAACTTTCCGGGTTGGAATTAAAATAAAAATGGTTGATTGTTTAGTGTATGACAAATTTACTATAAACAGGAAGAATGCCTCATATGACTAATTTTAATATCCTAGAAGATTTCACGTACACACATTCATTCTGGGACAAATATAAAGTATGTTGAATCATACACTCAAAACTCCTCAATCCCGGATTATATTTAAAAATGTATTGTAATATAACGGTACATATCACTTCTCGCTTTCCGATTGAACGTGACATGCATTTTAGATAAAGCTTAACGGTAAATCATTTGGATTAAAGCTTCAATTCTATTATTATTCTAACATGAAAAGTCACACTCTTCTGCGCCAACAGGGTTAATAAAGACGGGCATGAGACAGGGAAATTACTCTTTGTCGAATTCCAACTGTGAATATTTCTTAGGTCCACGCCAACGTCCCACCCGTGTGATACAATACATAACTCTTATTTATTAAAAAGATATTTTAATACTGGATAACATATTTACAGGTACAATTCTACATATGAAAGTCATTGTGGTTAGATATAATAACGTCTATATACAGCTGCTCATACTAGGTCTCAGAAGACCCCTCTCTTCTCCGGGGTCGAGGGCAGGCCCTCTCCCGCGGTCCGGGCCGAATTCCCTCTAGGTCTCTACACGGCTCTCCCGTCCCTCTCCAGGTCTGCCCCGGTCTGATTCTCAACTAGGCTTTTTATAAGGTGCAGCAATATCTGTCGCGTCAGATAGGCACGCCATAGTTAATGGCATTAGTAATAAGAACAATGAAAACTAATTATTAAGAGTCACACATCTTATCTTTAGACAGAAGGTGTCGATACGTGTTAAGCCTAAATCTTATATCATATAGACACTCCGGTTTTACAAGTTTGACAAACCCATTACATCTTACATAATATTATGTCCACACCCTCACACCTGATGAAATTAAATTTTACAATTAATCTGTCGCATGTTCAAAATGAGTTACAAATGAAAAATATAAATTGAAATATGAATTCAAAATACAATTATAAAATTTAGATCCCAAATGATATTGTATTACACCCGAACAACCAGACACTGCTTCTTGTCGGACCCTGCGTACGGTATTACTGACATGGGGAACCATAAGGGAAATCCCGGTATTGAAATGAAATGAAACGAATTGGGGTTTAACGTCCTACTGTTCTGCTCTGACTGGGCTAATGAAGACGGAGAAAATACCAGGAGAACTTTCTTCATACTCTAGCGCCAACCCGGCCACTCACCCTGCGTATTACACAACTGTTTTTCTTTGTTCATTACAAATGACGCCCGAAAACTTACAGTACGCGACGCGTGTACTGATTTTAAAATATTTACATATTCGATATTTTGATCTTGTTTTTTACTGCAAGATAACATCATCAATATTGATTGAAATGGACCAATATATTTAATTCTAATTCATGTTTGTAATTTCGATAAATATGGAAAATATTGAGTTATAGGTTTAGCTCTTTTAAACTAACATTAATATGGAATACACTGACCAAATTTGACATTGTCGAGATTGCCAAAGTACTTAAAGGCTCAATACCACTCTTGTTGTAACTGAATAATATGTCCCAATCTTTATTCTGGTCAACAAATTGTACTATTTTAGAATATTTCAATTAATTGATGATACAAATTTCATCTTAACACACCTTATTTAAAAATTTTGAAAAATTCAACATAATGGTTTGAAACGTCTAACGTAAACCTTTTCAAATGACAAGTAAAATAGGATGTAATGTATAATTTACACAACAGGTAGGACACTTAAACATCTAGTACTTAGATAGAGATATTATTTATTTTCTGGAGCTTTCAAGCCAGCAAGAGTGTTATTGTCCCTTTAAAGCAACTTAAGAAAAATCGTGATCAAAATTTGATTTATTGACCTAAACGAGACATAAAACGGAATAACTAATTATTTTCCTCGTACTGTTAAATGAAGTGGGTAAAAAAAAACAATTTTGACTAATTCTGTAGTGTTAGATTATGATAATACTGTAAAGCTTTTGACGCAATTTCTTTAATAGGTCATATGCGTTTAAATTACAACGAAACCTTCTGCACTCTACCTGTTGAAGAAAACTATTTGTTTGTGTAATATAGGAAAGCAATATTTCACCCTATTCCCCATCTTCAATAGAAGGCTTGATCTCGCTTTAAAGGAGCTAAATCGCTAATATTTTGGACCTACAAATTGACACAAATAGGTCGCAACGTATATAATAATGTAATATGAATGTAAATAAACTGATTTACATTCAATCGTTTCCGTTTTTACTCTAATTTCAAAGCAGTTATGTTCGGCGAAATACGCCAGAAGTCCCAATCGAATGGCAATCTCTAGCGTCTGGTTATTCCTGTCTACACCGATAGTATATATTGCGAATGCTCTCCAGATAAGAATATGGGATCACCGTTTGACATGACTTGTGGAATATGTCTAACCTCGTTCTTCCGAGTCGGTCGTTACAAATTGCTCTGAAACGCATTATGGTACACGATTCGTGTACCAATCGTAAAATGTTTATTTTGCCTTAATTATTGGATATCAGAAGCGCATCTTTTCCCGGTAAGATCACAACACCAATGTTGATTTAAATTGACAAATAATTCGTGTTTTCATTGTCGAAGGTTTTGGATGATATTGAGTTAGAGACTTAGCTACTTTAACTACGTACATCTTATGAGATGTAGTAAAACTCGCAGTCGTTGATTCAGGAACATGCCTATTCCCATGTATGGTTTTCGCCTTTCCGTGACGCAATCACTCACTGTCGTCACTGTTGATGTAGGTCTGTCTTTCCCTTAATAGCTGCCGGTTAAAATGATGTAGTTTTTCCGGGTCAAAAGCGACAGTTATCCTAAACATATTCATAGAACTTCATTGAGTATACAGTGAAAGCTTAATTTGCAAAGTAGAGGTTTGGAGCAGGAACTCAAAATTTCAGAGACACGAGATTAATATGAAAGTTTTGTTTAATTAAAAATATGGCACCGATACCAGATTTACGGATTATGTGTTTTAAAATGTCCCACTTAGAAGAAATTTTTTCGTAATCTTAATTGAGAAAAACCGAATTTTTGGCTAATTCTTAACTATAACCCGGCATCTGGGCAGTACTATACTATATAGTAATTTAAAAGTATAACTGATATCAGATATATGGCGCATTTGGAGTAAAGAACATCTAAGTTTAGGTAATTTTAACCTTAGTTTGGAGCTTTGGTGCGTCCCTTTCCAAAGGAGATGTAAACGATATCCTTCTCCACCTGTATATGCCACTGACAGCTTGCTCATTTTTTTTTCATTCCAGACAAACAGCGTAACACCGTTTCTAGACGCTGGGTTTTTATACGGAACGACAAAGTTCTTTACCAATCAACTGAGAGAGTTCAGAGGAGGTCGACTTTTGGCTAATGATGGCACATCAGATTTGTTTCCCGCCAAAAACGACATAAGGCTGATATTGTCTAATCCTGCTGTACCACGTGACCACTCTCTCAAACCGTCATCAAGATTTTTCCGTAAGTAAATCCCCCTTTTTTTAAAAAAAATTATCGACTTTTCAGAAGTACAGGACTTTTCAGCTTTGTTTTAATCCTTAAAACTAGAAATTTGGCTACAAATGCTATGTAATGGTAGTATTATTAGTAGTATTAATGATACTTTGATTTATTTTTTAGAAAGAGAGATATCGGTAAAATGAAATAAAATGGGGTTTAACGTCCTACTGGCTAAGGAAGACGGACATACGCCATGCAGTGTGTAATTAGGGAAATTTTGCCCGGAGAGCGGCACTGCGGCTTACTCGTATGTCGAATTCTTTTACATGCACGTCAATGTGTACACGAGACTTCGGTTTTTCGTCCCATTTGAATGACTATACGTTCTCCGTGCCCGGACCACCGCCCTGCACCACTGAGAAGGGGAGCCACGCCGGAAAATAATGACGAGCTTTCTCGGTCAACACTGGGATCTAACACGAAACCTCCAGGTTAGCGAGCCAACGTCTTACTCACTGAGCCACCGTGGCCCCCGTGAATAATGGGAGTGATACTGTACCCTTATTGATCTCGATCAAATTTTAAACGTAACACACTAAAGGAAAGATACGCTAAACAGCAAATCTTATGCAAGAACCAATTCGTAGGATACTAATACCTAGCACGTATGTAAGAGGCGATAAACTGCGATTGCAAGAAATTGATTTTGGGTCAAAAAACATTTTATGGGGCTAAAAATGCGTTTTTGAAAAATAAAATTGTTCCTACAACCGCAGTTTATCGTCTCTTCCATATGTGCTAGGTATTAGTATTCTACGCATCCTGGCACAATTTTTAATTTTTTGGACCACAGGAACAGTGCCGACTAATCTATCCTAGTTGGGGGTCATGTTATTTTTGGCGTGTCTGTTAGGGACAACCCACCGCACAAACTGTCTGGCAGTGGTCATTCATTATTCCTGTGGTGGTACTGAACAACTCCAAAGCTGTTTTAGGTGGTACAGATTTCAGCTAATCTAGCCTAGTTTTGGTCTGGAAATTAGATAACTCTTGTCGGGGATACTCCATCACTACAAATGTCTGGCAATTACATAGCTCTGTCAGGGGTACCCCACCACTAGAAATGTCTGTCAGAGTGTTTTTGTAATACCTGAAGATGTACGGTACATTGCTGTGCGATTTTCATGTGGTACACTTTAGAGCTAATCTAGACTAGTTGGGGGCATGGCATTTTGGGCGTGGAATACCGCACCCACCACCAGAAACCCGGCAGACTTACATTCTGATGATACCAGATATACATACATTGATACCATATAGGAGAAAATTGGTACACTTTTCAGCTAGGTTAACCCCCTGGGCTCCTGCTCTACACGTGTATGGCGTTATTGCGTGTCGCACATACAGCTCAGTGGTTCTGTTGGGGCGATAAGTTCTTCATCTGTGAACATACTCTCAAAGCATGTCAAGTGTCCACACGATCAACATTTTAATTACAACTAAAAAAAGTTATCAAAGATTCATAGTTATATTCTGGTAATCTTAGTTAATGCTACTTTTAGGAATTGGTAATGCTCGAGGTCATATGAATCCCTATCTTCTGACAATACAGATCATATGGTACCGATGGCATAATCATGTAGCAAACGATCTGTCTTCAAGAAACAGGGAGTGGAAAGATGAGCGATTATTCTATGAGACCAAGAAAAGAGTTACTGCACACTTCCAGGTAATTTTTCCACAATAAGTTAAAAGTTGTCATCTAAGATGATATATCCTAGTGTACCTAAATGTTTTCTACACAAAATTTACCCATTTGATTAACTTGTAGGTACGATTCGTGATCACTTACACAACCTGCTGCATTCAGTATGTGGGGAAAAGACAAAATCTATCATATTAGTTGATTATCATGACGTGATTATCTGTGGACTGACGGATGATCTATAAATATTTATATACAACTGAAAGGTATTTTTTTAAGGTTACCACACCGGTAGAAATGTCTGTTTTAAAAAGAAATCTGAATTTTGTGCATGAAGATTTATGTTGTAATTGTGATACCGTTTTATTTAGAAAATTGTAATGGAAGAATGGCTACCATCATTGTTACCGCAAGGCAATATCCCACCATATGATGGTTCGTATATTTAATGACATACAGAAACATAATTCATTCATTAAACTAAATTAAACTATATTACTATTATCTAAAAATAACATCTTTACACTGCTCACAAACCAAAACAACTGCAGATCCATGCTTATATAGAAAACCCTTTTTAAAATGGAATTTTACCTTTTATTGTAAAGATTACAAGAATTCTGTTCATCCTGGTGCTAGTCAAGAATTCCAGACAGCAATAGAAGCTTATATTAGCACCATGTTACCTGGTGGGGTTTGGACTTTAGGGTAAGTTGGTGGCTTTTATAATACACGTTTTCAACATGTTATATACCAGCTTAAATATACCTTACGACTACTAGAGTTTTAATTCTTCATACTGAAGAATGCGTTCGTTATTGGGCTTTGCTTATGTTTAATCACTGCACATTATGCCTATTTAATTTTAGCCCCAATTGTTCATTTTAACCATTTTAGCGTTTTCTGAAATTCTATCAGGATTATCGCCCTTATTATTACCATTCGGCAGACGACCATTGCTAAGACCGGGCCCATTATTTCTATTGCGCCTTTCTTCTATTGATTTTTTCTCTGTTTTATTTGTGAGCATGTTTTCATTTATGACTAAAGCATACATCATTGCAGTCCGTTGACTGTACAGCACAGTGGATTCTTACGACTGGTCCCCAAATCCCTCACTTGATTTGATATATATGTTTGTTGTTTATTGCTTGCAGTGTCCGTGTAGCTTGTGCGTCTTGTCCGCAGGTAGGCCTATGCCCTGTGGGTTTTGTTTGCACTTACTATTAAAGCCCGTGTGATGTTGAAAAGCATGGTGGTTTAAAGCATACCCGGAAAATTTGAAAAATATGTCAACACCCTTAGACATTTTAGGCGGATGAATTCTATAATACATGAATTTGATAACATTTGAAACTTTTTTTACAGTGAAAATTGTGCAAGAATAAATACAACAAGTCAGGATCCTGATAGTGACAGACAGGTAGAAGCTGTTAGACTATGTAATACCTATTGGGATTCACAGGTACATATATACACACATATTATATAGGAATGGGTTTTAAAGATCAGATGCCTTCCCAAGTGATTTGATGATATAGTTGGACTAAAAACATATTTAAACTAATTTATCTATCAAAAGTTTCTTTAAAAGCCCAGCTGTACGTTTTAGCAATCTGATTAAAACACAGATCCTATTTCGTTTCGTTTTTTTTTATAGTTCAAAATTTCGTTTTACTTGTCTTTACTATACTAGGATCTGAAAGAGTTGTTATTGACGTGTTCTGGATGATGTGAGGGATTAGCCAATAAAACGGCCTGTTACTGCGAGCTTTTGGCGTGTGGTGAACGGAACTGTGGGTAATCCACAAGAAACATCAATGCTGATTGGTTAATCAAATGTCTGACGTCATAGGGTCAAAAGCCGCTCGTATGACCCCTGACGCGACCTCTCAAAACCGCTGGCCAGATCTTCATGTAGTGTAGGCCATCGAAAGTATAAAAAAAACGAAACGAAATATAGATCTGTATTTTAATCAGATTGTACGTTTGGTTGCTCGTTCTTGTTACAACGATAGACACATCAAATGTTTCTGTGTAAGTCCCACATTGAACTGGGAATTTTAGCCGTGACCTATTCGCCAAAGACAAGACAAAATTCGGTTTTATGAAAATATGTTATACAGTAGTTTGTAAATTATAGTATGTTTTTCATTATTTACTCTGTATTTAAGGATTTGGTTCCGACCAATTTTGATTCTCTATTACGGGGTATGTTGTATACAAAAGCCGAACAAGAAGATACCACAATAGTGCCTGATGTTAGAGGTAACGTCACTATTGTTTTATCATTTTAAAAAAGGAATTTTTAAAAGATGCATTATGGAAGATATAGTGAAAGAGCGAATTGCCGATCTTGTTATAATAGATATTGGAAATGATTCTATTGAAAATTTCGGTCAAATTACTTTATTCTGGGCGAAGCTGGTAATGTGTGAAGTCTTAACGAGAAATGGCGTAACTAGTTTCGATTGCTACGATAATAAACGAAGTTTCGATTTTCTATTTTAACCTTTAACGTAAATTGGGTAGACATCTTATTAATACAATAATTCGGCCATCCGATCATCCAGCGAGTTGATTACAGTCATAAGAATAACTATCTAAATAATAATCTGTATACTATTTAAAGCCAAAAACAATACCTGCAATATGCAGATTCAGCTCTTACATAGGGGAGTTGGATGGCCGAACATTGGGACAACTGGTGTGGTTTCGATTGCCGGGTTGTACGTGACAAGGAGTAGGATCGCCTGTCCAACCTCGTGGGTTTTCTCCGAGTCCTCCGGTTTCCTCCCACTGTTAAAGACCACTACACGCAAGCGAAATATTGAAATAAAATTGAACGATGTGTTAGTCCCGAAATGACCTAGTTTGTGTCGAGTGGACGTTTAGCTCCATTTCTCGCTCTCGCTCTTACATAATGCATTTTTAATTGTTTAATACAATATGTCAATTGTGTGCAGTATATATATTCCTATTACATTTAATGCGGGCTTTCATCAAAGTTTTTTATTACAGAATATTATCCTGGACCATATGAGTTTTCTAGGCGTGATCAAGCAGCCGTATTAATTCAACAGGGCAGAGATCACGGATTATCAGATTATAACACAATAAGACAAGGTTTAGGACTTCAGGCCATTACAAGTTGGGAAAACTTTAATACTAGTCAAGAGGTATATAGATTATTTTGTTATACCAGAAAATATAAGAATATATCCTTCATAGCCTTGTAAAACAACGAGATCTAATTATTATTAGTAAATCAATTTGTGGTTATTTGATCTCATATACTGAATGTGTAGGGGCGTGTCCAGGAATTTGAGCAGCAGGGGGTCCAAGGTGGAGATAACGTTAGGTCGGGGGAACTACCCGCGAATTTAATAAAATGTGAAGCTCTGAGACAACGAAATGAAATGAAATGAAATGGAGTTTAACGTCCTACTGTTCTGCTCCTAACCTGGGCTAATGAAGACGGGCATACGCCATACAGTGTGCTATGAGGGAAATTTTGCCCGGACAGCGGCACTACGGCCTACTCTTATATCGAATTCCAACTGCCAAGGGATCTTTTACGTGCACGCCAATGTGTACACGGGACCTCGGTTTTTCGTCCCATCCGAACGACTAGACAGCTTTCCTTGTCAGCCCCTCCGTCCTGCATCACTGACAAGGGAGAACCACGCCGGAAAATCTGGATGAACTTTCTCGGCCAATGCAGGGATCGAACACCCGACCTCCAGGCTAGCGAGCTAGCGTCTTACCCGCTTAGCCACGTGATCCCCCTCTGAGACAACACTTCTGCTCATTTAGGGTCATACATTTATAGGATTACATTAGAGTGAGCCAAAACTAAGGCAATACTTTGCACGTTTTATCTATGAATGTTCGGACTCACCCCTAATTGGACACACGCCTGTTATGTCAATCGGGTGAGGGAAAGGATTTCCTGATAGAAGATATCCTATACTACACACACTCACATCTGCGGTGATATCGAGTACATATGATATTTTGTATTTTCATCCTATTGTATATTATAATATGCTTCAATGTTGTATTATTTGTAGATTATAGATAAATTAAGACAGGTATATGGTAATAATACTAGTAATCTAGATTTATTTACTGGTGGTTTAGTAGAGTTCAGTCCATCAGGACCAGGTGAAGTGTTTCAGCGGATATTGGTAGATCAGTTTACTCGTATCCGAGATGGAGATAGATTTTGGTATGAGAAAAAAGGGTAAGATTTTTATTTTTGTGTTTGTTTTGTTTTTTGTTGGGGGGGGGGGGGGGGCAGCTTATTCGTAACCACAGTATTAAGGTTTTGTGTTAGGCTAACATTATATTGGGACACGCTGTATAATAAATGGAGATATTTTTTGGTACTAGAAGAAAGGGTAAGAATTTGTTGTGGTTTTTTTTTTGTTGGAAGAGCTTATTTGCAACCACAGTATATTAGGGTTATGGTTCTTTATTGGGACACTGTATAATAAACAAGCCAAGAAGTACATGGTTAGGATTAGGCCATCGATACTTTAAAAGTATTTATCTTGTTATCATAATTCATAAATACAGTATTTACAGGGTAAACATAATTAATATATACAGTATTTACAGGGTAAATATAATTAATATATACAATATTTACAAGGTAAACATAATTAATACATACAATATTTACAACTTAATCATAATTAATAAATACAATATTTACTAGGTAGTCTTAATTCATAAATACAGTAATTATGCGGTAATCTTAATTTACAGTATTTACATGGTAATGATCATTCATAAATACAGTATTTACGAAGTAGTCTTAATTCCCGTTTATGCGATAATCTTAATATACAGTATTTACAGGGTAACCATGATTCATACACAGTATTTACGAGTTAATCTTAATTCATAAATATAGTATTTATGAATTATCTTAATTTATAAATACAGTATTTACGAGGTAATCGTAATATACAGTTTTACAAGTTAATCATGATTCATAAATACAGTATTTACGAGGTAATCTTAATTCATAGATACAGTATTTACGATAAATATAGTATTTACAGGGTAATCATGATTCATAAATACATTATTGACTAGGTCATCTTAATTTATAAATACAGTATATACGGGGTAATCTTAATTTATAAATACAGTATGTATGAGGTAATTTTTATATACAGTATTTACAAGGTAACCATGATTCATAAATATAGTATTTACGAGGTAATCATAGTATACAGTGTTTACGTGGTCTTCTTAATTCATAAATACAGTATTTACGGGGTCATCTTTATTCCTAAAAACAGTGATTATGAATACTCCATTCCTTTGGTTTTATGTCAACAATATTCCATTACATTGAGCTTGTCAGTTCATTTTGAAACACCAAACACAAAACAAAAACAAACCGAGCTGCAAATTAATTGCAATTAATCTTAACAGTATCTCCAATTTATCTATCAAAATGTAAACCATACATTCTTTTTTTCAGTTTTTTCACAGAAGCTGAATTAGAAGAAATAAGGGCTATAACATTTGCTAATATACTGAGAAATGTGACAGATGTTTCACCAATATTTAACAATGTCTTTAAATGTCAAGGTTATTATATTATATATATATTTATAAACGTCAGTGACGTGGTTCAACTCTAAACCGACTCAGAACCTTAAGAGAGAGAGAGAGAAATGAGGTTCAACGCCCACTCGACACAAACTACGTGTAGGTCATTTCGGGACTAACATATGGTTTAAGTTTATTTCAATAATTCGCTTGCACGTAGGAGTCTTTAGCAGTGGGAGGAAAACGGAGGACCCGGGGAAAACCCACGAGGTTGGACAGGCGACCCTACTCCTTGTCACGCCAGTTGACTCAATGACAGACGTACGATACAGCGCGCGGTGCTAACCATTCGGCCATCCCCTCTCCCCCCTCCCCCTCCCCCCTCCCCTTATATACTCAGAAACGGCAGTAACGTGGTGTAACTCTAAACCGACTCAGAACCTTAAAAATAGACACAACCTTGTATTTATATCGACTTTATGTTGGTGAATTATATTACCAAATTTTTAAAATTAGACATAGGATTAACAACTCATTTAATTTGTTGAAATTACATAAATTTTGACCTGAATTCCTATTGCATCCTTATAAAAAATTATGGATTTTGTACCTTTCAACAGGATTTTAAATATGAAATATCAACAGTACAGCAATTGGCGACTGATCAATTGAATATCTGTTTGTTTATGTTAATTACTTTTTTTTATGTATATATTAGTTACTTGCGTTAGGTACAGGGGGTCACGGCGGCTAGGTGGATAGGACGCTGGCTCGCTAGCCTTGAGGTCTGGAGGTCGGGTGTTCGATCCCTGCATTGGCCGAGAAAGTTCATCCAGATTTTCCGGCGTGGTTCCCCCTTGTCAAAGATGCAGGACGGAGGGTCTGGCAAGGACAACTGTCTAGTCGTTCGGATGGGACGAAAAACCGAGGTCCCGTGTACACATTGACATGCACGTAAAACATCCCTTGACAGTTGGAATTCGATATAAGAGTAGGCCGTAACACTAATACCGCTGTCCGGGCAAAATTTCCCTCATAGCACACTGTATGGCGTGTGCTCAGTCTTCATTAGCCCAGTTGGGAGCAGAACAGTGGGACTTTAAACCCATTTCATTTCATTCCATTTCGCATTAGGTGAAAGTTAACTGATTTTATGTAAATACAAGGGAGAGACCAAGCTATTCTCAATCATATTTCAAACTGATAAACCATATTGTCTGTATGAATAAGTTTTGTAATCTATTTTAATATAATGAACAGGTCTGGGAAGCTGTGTTTGTGCTGATCCACCAAATGTAGACAACAACAACAATACAAGGTTTGACGTCTGCTCAGAACTACAAACTTATGATTATTTTACTGGCAGTGAAATAAGCTTTATTTTATCATTCCTGGCAATAGGCCTGGTCATTCCAGGTAAGAGCTACTCTTATTTTACCTTACTAATCTTTTAAAACGCCATCAGTTTTTAAGATCTCCATATTCCTGAATTAGAAATCACCCAAAGGACTCCCGGGTTTTCGTCTTATCCGAGTAATTAGACGCTTTTCCCGGCCAGACTCAGATTCATGCATAACTAATATGAGGAAAACAGTCGAAAAAATCCCGAGGAACTTTTTCGACTAACACCTGGATCGAACCCAGGGCCTCTTAGTTAATGAGTCGGCGCTATTCCCAAATGAGCCTCAACAGTAGCAGTATTAGTAGTACTTAAACAAATTGTTTCAATGCCATGTAGTAATTGAACTGGGAATACACACAAGTCTATGGAATACAATTACAGTTTACTTGATAAAGACTATAGGGAAACTAAGCCTGTTTACTCGATAAAGACTATAGGGAAACTAAGCCTGTTTACTCGATAAAGACTATAGGGAAACCAAACCTGTTTACTCGATAAAGACTATAGGGAAACCAAGCCTGTTTACTCGATATGGACTATAGCTAAACCAAGCCTGTTTACTCGGTGAAGACTATGGGGAAACCATGCCGGTAATAAATAATAATTGTATTCCATAGAATTATGTGACATAACGACAATGTTAAAGGAGCATTATGTAAGATTTAGATAAAGAGGTGGCCGTTCGCGCTATAATATTTCAAATATAGATAATACAGTTTGAGCGAAGTTATCAATGGTTGTAGTTTTGACAAGATGTGTGCATTGATCTTAACCACCGTGCTTGTCATTCAAAGCTTAGTCTTGCTTTTCCAATTTTAAATTAAATCATTAAATGACCGAACCGTTCTTATCTACTTTAAATGGGAGCCATCGAATGGCACCGAAAGTTGAGCATGTTTTTGACATGTTAATAAATGTCTACTTAATAATTTATATAGCAGTTAAGGTCCAAAGAAAGATCTGCAATGGGCAGATTTAGTTCTTACATAATGCCTGTTTAAACATACATTATGCAAGAGCTAAATTTGCCTATTGCAGGTCTTTCTTTAGGCCTGAAATGTTTTCTAAAATATTAATTAGATATTAATTAACTGATCCAGGCCATAATCAACGCTCGATGGCATCGGATTTCTCCGATATTAAATAGATTAGAACAGTTCAGCCAAAAATGGAGGAGCGAGACTTAGCTTTGAACAACCAGTACGGTGGTTGAAATAAGTGCACACGTCTTGTCAGACCTTCAAAGGCTAATATCTTCGCTTGCAATAGTGTAATTTGAATGAAATTTCAAATTATTCTTTTTACATTATCTAATTTTGAACTATTATAGCAAGAATGGCCAGCTCTTTATCTAAATCTTACATAATATAATGTATTTTTCTTTAAGTAAAGGCGTTTCTAATTATACGCGCTTACCATACTCGAGTAACTTGCAAAAACTGCACGTTTATAGTCACACAAATAGATTGTGGCACGCAGGATACTAAAGCAGGGAGCGTGGCAATTCAAAAGATATCATTGACAAAATAGTGTGATTGGTAGTAATTTGAGCAGCCATGTTTAAATGTAATTAGATTACTAAAAGCACGTCTATCTACTATACAGGGTAATCACCTTACATTGTCAAAATTGTGCATATAATGTTAGGTATCTTTAAAGGCTCAATACCACTCTTGTTGTAACTGAATAATATGTCCCAATCTTTATTCTGGTCAACAAATTGTACTATTTTCGAATATTTCAATTAATTGATGATATAAATTTCATCTTAACACACCTTATTTAAAAATTTTGAAAAATTCAACATAATGGTTTGAAACGTCTTACGTAAACCTTTTCAAATGAAACTTTGATTTAAAAATATTTTCGAACCCTCTGGACAAGTAAAATAGGATGTAATGGATAATTTACACAACAGGTAGGACACTTAAACATCTAGTACTTAGATAGAGATATTATTTATTTTCTGGAGCTTTCAAGCCAGCAAGAGTGTTATTGTCCCTTTAAAAGAAAATCGAAAATGATTTAGGGTGTTGTTAAAACGCTTAGAACTGATTTATCTTTATTTATTACAGGCTCCATATTGGTTTTAATGTTATTGATTAAGCGACGGCAGAAAATGATAACAGGCAAATCACAACGGATGTCAAAAAATCACAGACAATCTAAACCTAATTCATATTTAGGTATGATATGGTATAATAATAAAGTATATGAATAAAGGCTGAAAAGATTTTCAATATTTTAGCTTTATTCGTCGTCTAATCCCATATGAATAACGGTACTATAAGCAGTATCCCGAAACGCGTGTGCGGTGTTTGGGGTGGGGCAGGCATTTCGGGACTAATATGGTATATGTTAGCTTACCATGTCTTGCAGCTATGGAGACAAAATTCATATTGCATAGAAAAATATTATGTTTATGGTAGTAAGCAATCTGTTTCACATATCTCTGTAATGGATGACTGTCTTCAACATGATTGTGCAATGACATCACGCGGCGTCAATCATTGGCTCGATGGCGCGTGCATTGTTTACATAAGACGTAACTGGTTTTGGCAAAATGGTGCCTTTTACTCATTTTAATACCCATTTACACTAAATAGGAAATATTTTTTACCTACAAATACTTCAAACGTCTTTATTTATTTTTCTAATACATAAAAAAAAAAATATGTTTTAGAATTTAATTTGTCGGAGGAAAAAAGTTAATATTGGGGACTCATTAAGTCGCATCGATTTCATCCTTATCAGTGACTGTATAGCGACCTAGCGAATATTCACTGCTGATCAGTGTGGGTAGTAAGTTGTAAACACTAAGCATTGTTATCTGTTTACATAACTACTGCGGTTAGCATATTTAATTCAAAGGTTTACAAAATTTAATATTCAATTAATTAATCCAAAAAGTTTTAATATACTTTAAACAATGCAGTAATAATATATACATTCCCACTTCAGGCGGATCGATGAGCGTTGGAACAATATAAGCCAATATAAAGCTTCGCTTCAACGACCTGTTCCCCACACTTTTGATATTGATGAGCTAATGAGGGAATTGATCCAAGCGTGTGGGGGTCACGGTAGCTAAGTGGGTAAGACCCTGGCTCGCTAGCCTAAAGTTCGGGTGTTCGATCCCTGCCGGCGTGGTTCCCCCTTATCGGTGATGCAGGACGGAGGGCGTGACAAGGACAGCTGTCTAGTCGTTCGGACGGGACCAAAAACCGAGGTCCCGTGTACACATTGGCGTACAAAAGGTCCCTTGACAGTTGGAATTCGATAAATGAGTAGGCCGTAGTGCCGCTGTTAGGGCAAAATTTACCTCATATGCCCGTCTTCATTAGCCCAGTTCGGAGCAGAACAGTAGGACGTTAAACCCCATTTTATTTCATCTAAGCGTGTGATTCACTATGATGAAATGTCATTCCTTGGACTACATAAGGTTATTCCAAGATGGAAGCGGACGTTAAATAAAGCTATTTAAGGTAATTCCATGGACTATGTAAGGTCATTCCATGAATGTCATAACAAAAATGCATTTTTTACGATATACAGAAGATGTTTTTACACTAGGAAATCGTACTGTTTTGTTTATATTTTAGCCGAGGAGTGGCTTGGTCCTCATTCTGAGAGTAGAAAAGTTAAGATAGAACTACAGAAGGAGAGAAAAAAGATCAATATAGCTAATGGTCGTGGACAAAGCCTTCGGTTTATAGATCTTCGTCGAACAGAGAAAATTCAATTAAAAATTTCGTATGACAAACAGTTAAATCTTGCCTCTGTTAGAGTACCGGGCGATATAGATCTAGTGAGTACTTATTAGGTACAGTTTAACTTTTTGTGGAGAGAGAGAGAGAGAGAGAGAGAGAGAGAGAGAGATAGGGGGGGGGGGTGTAAGGCGATCATACTCCTTTTCAGGAATAAGCCTTGGCTCGGAACCATGACGACACTTGATTCAAAGACAGATGTGTGTGAGAGAGAGAGAGAGAGAGAGTGAGAGAGAGAGAGAGGATGGTAAGGCGATCATACTCCTTTTCGGGAATAAGCCTTGGATCGGAACCACGACGACACTTCATTCAAAGACAGATAAGATCTTATAATCTAAGAACCAAACGCATTAAAACACTCAAATCCTCGCACCAATAAACTTACACTGTTTACATTTTTTTGCAATTAGATTTTAAGATTTAGTGGATTACCAGAGAGACAGAATTTTGTAACTGAGATAGAAACGTTTTTAAGAGAATTATCAATAGAAGTAACCAGACAAGAGCTGGCTGAAAATGTTATAATATCTACATCAAATAACAGAGACGACAGACAAAAAATCTTAGATGAATTCTTCAGAATAGTGTGTTTACAGGTTAGTGGGTTTTAATATATAATAGATTTATGACGATCTTTCAATGTAAGGAACTCGGGTATGGTTGCTACCTGATTCATGGAAAATCTGCATTTTTTTTCTCATTAAATCGGGTTTAAGGTCTTACGATTATGCACTAACTGGACTAATGAAGACGGGCATACGCCACGCAGTTTTCGTATTATCCTGCCATCTAGACTGGGCCCTTATTCACGAAAACTTAAACTAAGATACAATCGAAATTTTAAGAAATACTGCAATTCGATTGGCTGACCAGTAAAATCATTTTGCATATATCCAATGAAGTTACAGTATTTCTTAAAATTTCGATTGTAACTTAGTTTAAGTTTTCGTGAATAAGGGCCCAGTTGTGTAAAGCCCTATATCATGCGGAAACCGCACCAGAAAGTCTCGAGGAACATTCGGCCCAACACTGATCACCACAGCTCCGCGGAAAATCTGACATGGGATTATTGATGAAGGTACTATAAAACATGGACTATATTTTGCGAGAACTGCTTTTAGGTAAAAAGAGAGAGAGAGAGTTTTTTTAACGTCCACTCGACACAAACTAAGTCATTTCGGAACTGACATAATGGTTCAATTTTATTACAATAATTCGCTTGCGCGTAGATGTCCTTAGCAGTGGGAGGTACCTGATGAACCGGAGGACCCGAAGAAAACCCATAAAGTTTTACAGGCGACCCACTCCTTGTCACGTACAGCCGAGGAATCGAAACCACGCCAGTTGACTCAATGACAGACCTTATGAAACAGCGTGCACACGCTAACCATTCGGCCATCCACCCCAGTAGTGGCAATACTCTGTCAGGGCTATCAATGGACAGCGTCTAGTCTTTCTGATCGAAAGAAAACATGAGGTCCTGTGTACATGTTGGTATGCAGGTAAAAGACCCCTTTACACTTGGAATTCTAAATAAAAGTACGCTCGTAGGCCGTAGCACTGCTGTCCAGGTAAAAAATCCGTCATGGCAAACTGCATAACGTATACCATGTTGGAGCAGGGCCCTTATTCACGAAAACTTAAACTAAGATACAATTGAAATTTTAAGAAATACTGCAATTGGATTGGCTGACCAGTAAAATCAATTTGCATATATCCAATTTGCATATTGGTCAGCCAATCGAATTGCAGTATTTCTTAAAATTTCGATTGTATCTTAGTTTAAGTTTTCGTGAATAAGGGCCCAGAACAGTAGGATGATATACTTCATTTCATTTCTTCTTCAGGCACTCAAGAAAGATCCTACAACTGAGTCCTTTACCTATGATGCTGAACAAGCCAGTCAAGTGATTAATGTAAAACTAACTCGTACAGAGTTTGCTGATGCTCTTGGTCTTCAGCCATCTTCTATATTTGTAAGAAATATATTTCTACTGGGAGATAAAGATAACGATGGTTTCATGTGTTTTAGAGAATTTTTGGACTTGTTTGCAGTATTTGCAAGAGGTAATTTACTCAGATCGATTTTCATCTTCGACGCGTTGTGGCGTAGAACATTCTTGTTCTGAAAAGGAAAATATTTTCTAGTTTCAATCTTAGATGCGTTAAAGTTATTTCTGTTTATGCAAAGGGTTAGTCGAAAATTTAAATAATTCTTAAAGTTACAATTTTATTATTAATTTATAACAAAAAAACCCAAAAACAACCACACCCATGGGTTAAAACATTTCAACTAAGTGATGGAGCTGATAATTAAGCCCCCAGACGTTTGAAAACTCTAATTCTAAAAATAGTTATTTCCAAAATAACGTTTGTTTACAGTTAGTGACGTTATAGAGTGATAAACAAGCGACGTTATTCGAGAACAGTTTGAATTCCTAAATTAAAGTGCACTTTCGTCATTTAGAACGATTATTAGACTTATGACCACTTTAAGCTGGGTGAAAAATCCTGTGTAATCTACAATGTACTATTTTGTGAAATATTATATACAGGTACTGCTGACGAAAAAGCCAGACTAATGTTCAATATATATGATGTGAGGAGAAAAGGTGTTCTTGAAAGAAGCGATTTTAGCAAGATGATTAAGTAAGTTACACATCTCTATTAACTGAAAACATTTCACTCAGCACTTTGTTGACAATATTATGACGACTTTTGGCGCTCGTGAACAATACCCTACTGGAAGTAGGAAAGTGATTGGCTTTTCGATCATTCACGGAGTCTTAGGTTATTTTTATATCATGTTATTGAAACTTAACTATACTTATATTCTTATTATTTATTTTATTAGAATTCACTTCTTCTGTTAACCTCGCAAATAACTCATTTTTATTCCATCATTTTTATAACATTTAATATGTTCAATTGGAGAACGTTTAGGGAAAAAACGAGGTTCCATGTACACACTCCGTTTACATAAATACCTGGGCCCTGTTTCTCGAAATCTTAACTAAAGATAAAATCCAAATTTTAGTAGATACTTCAATTTTGATTGGTTAAGCACTAAAATCAATCTAATATTATCCAATCAAATTACTAAAATTTGGATTTTGTCTTAATTAAAATTTCGTGAAACAGGCCCCAGATAGTCATAATTAGATATAAGAGTATGTCGTAGCGCCGCTTTCTGGGCAAAACTCCCTCATAGCACATTGTATGGGGTATGCCCGTCTTCATTAACTTAGTCGGTGCAGAAAAGCCGGACCATAAACCCTATTTGATTTCGCAAATATCTGGTTTCCAAAATACGCATTCTATCGTCACAGAATATTCATATTTTGGCTAAGAGTGATATCGCCTTGGATAATGTCGACACTAATTGTATCATTTTATTATTACTTCCAGATCATTATTGGATCTGTCCGATGCTAAACTTGGTGATGATAAGGTAAATGAATTAATCGATGTAATGTACAGAGAAGCTGGTTTAAACAGTGGAAACACCATGACCTTTGATGATTTCAAAAAGGTCTTCACACTTAAAGAATACGAAGCAACGTTTCAATCAGCAACAATCGGAGAACAAGGTAATACTAATATTTAAGCTTTAAGTGGAATTTAGTTATTGGGGGACACATTAAACAGAATTTATGGAATAAAACTATTGATTGATACTAATGGACCAAAAGCCTAATCATTTAGCTTTCATGGAAGTTGTTATGCTTTAAAGATACATTATGGAAGATAAGATAAAGAGCTGGCAGTTGTCACTGTTATAGTTAAAAACTCCATAATGTAAAGGGAATATGCTAAACAATTTCAGTCAAATTGCTTCGCTCTAAGCCGAGAAAACCTTATTTTAAAATCACTGTAGCCTCGATTGTCATTGTTACCGCTCACACCATAATTAACTAAGTTTCGATTATCCATTTTTGTGGTTAATCATCAATGGGCGTTGAACAGCTGATCAGATTCAAATCCAATGAAAATCGGACACATAAGATGGCATCGAGAGTTCATGTTAATAAATGTCTAATTAATAGTTTATATAACATTTCAAGCTTAAAGAAAGACCTGTAGTAGGTAGATTTTTGCTCTTGCATAATGTATGTTTAACTAATTGATACTTCAATATAGCTGGTATCTCATTTGAAAACCGGATAACTGCGTGAAGTATGCCGTCGTATTCTCCTCTAAGCTTGAAATAATCAAGCAAAGAAATGTAAACATGAATGGCACCCATAGCTACTTTAAACAGCAGTTTAAATAAGTACTATTATCTCCCCCCCCACCCCCTCTCCCCTAGTATATACAAGTTTGCATTCTGGTTTCGTGGAAGATTTCTTTTAATAACAATGTCACGGTGCTGAACACATAACCATCAATTAGAAAAGACATCTTAAAGTTTTCTTTTTCCTGATCTTCAGATAAAAAGAAATATGTTGGGTCGAGGGAAACAGTTCTAACACGATTTCTTGTTTTTTTGTAGGTGGAACAGTTTCTGCTCATACAGCAGACACTACTGGAGGTATCAGAAACAGAAGACACACTTTAATAAAAAGTTACAAGTAAGTATTCAGATAGAACTATATTCAAGGGATATATCCAATTTTTGGGACATACTTATTTAGTTTGAATCAGATTTGTCCGGTTTTGAAACACGGATAGGGTCAAGAAGATCCATAGATACAGCTCTGTTCCCAGTTCCTAAGAATGTTGGGTTGACACAGCGAATAAAGCCCTGACTCACTAACAAGGATTTTTAAATCCGGCTTCCCCATAGCACAAAACACAGCGTCTGAGAAGACACAGCGCCCAGTCGTTCGGATGAGACGATAAACCTGAGATCCCGCGTACACCTAAAAGAAACCGTGCAGATGGAATTCATAGAAGTCTTGTCGGAAATCTGCTGTCCCGGCAAAATTTATCTTTTATCTGATACCGCACTATATGGCGTAGGCATATGTATATCTTTATTAGCCCAGTCGGTACAGAAAAGTAGGACGTTCAACCCCTTTTTATTCATTTCACCTTGTACTATAATTGGTACTGCACATAAAAGAAACCAAGATAATTGAAACTCGAAGAGGATTATCTGTCATGCTTTGCCCAACCGTAGAATAATGGCAAAAATGCTATAATCTCAAAATAAACGAAGAGTCGCGTTGACCACACTTTAAGTCCCACGTTCTTGCTAATGAAATTTCTCCTCAGTTCACGTCTCCAACGCTCTGCCTATAATACCGGCATAACATAATAATATTCATAAGTTTTTCGTGTTTTCTATAAACAGAGGTAAAAAAGATGGCGGTATTAAAAGCAAAAGAAACAGCAAAGTTCGAGTAAAAGTAGAGAGACCGCAGCCCGTCGGTTTTACTTATACTGCAGAGAAGATATTTGCTATAACTAAATTTATGGAGATCTACAGGTTACAAATATTTTGGATCTCGCTCTATACACTTGTAACAATTGGTATCTTTATAGAAAGGGCATATTGTAAGTTTCATTTTATTTTCTTCTCTAACAGTAAATGCAGGAGGACCGCACAACACATAAACGAAACCCATAAGACATTGAAAATAATAAACATCACATGTATATATAAAATCAAGTGAATGCATCCTTTGTCCTGTCCGCTGCGTTGTAGTGATACGGGTTTCACTCAAAATGAAAACAAATCACCATATTAACATGTCATCTTTTTTTTAAAAAGATATTTTTAAAATTTTCTAAAACTTTATGGGACGTCCATTTTCCGTTATGTTGATTTAGATTGTCCTTGGTCTAAAACGTTGCGTCCAGGTCCACATATATGAATTTGAGTGAAAAATGAAAGGGTGGAAATTTTTATTAAATAACACAGAGAATGTGTTATTTGTTGTCAAAAACGTTTATATCGTACGAGATACCCCAAAGAAACCCAGTATGTCATCTACAAGTTGACAAAGCCTCCATTATGTGAATGGGTGAGCAATGACGTTAAAGGGATAGTAAAAGCGCTGGGATATTATAGGCACAGTGGTTAACGCTCTGTAGTTGTAAAATTGTATAATTTATCGTGGGATTACTTTGCAATTATATTGTATTTCATCCAGATTATGGCGAGGGGCGTGAACATGCTGGATTAAGAAGATTATCAGGGGCGTGGACGACAGCTATGATTCGTGGATCAGCTAGTGTTATCATGTTTACGTATTCCAGTTTATTACTCACCATGTGTAGAAATATTATAACCAGATTACGTGAGACATTTTTACACAGATTTATACCATTTGATTCCGCTGTCGACTTCCATAAATACATCGCTGTCGTCGCCATGATTGCCACAAGTAAGTTCATAAGTACTTTTATACGTATATTTATAGTTTTTCGTTTTTAATTCTTCTTTTACTTTGTCAAAGAGACAACAAGGTTTATGAACAAATCCCGGGACTTGTTTTTGGAGACTGTTGATACACACATGGAAAGAACCAGGCATTTCTAACAGATCCTGTGGGGGAACAAATAGGGGGAAGGACGGGATTGTCTCTCCATCGGGAACAGAGAAATTTGGGCTGTATGAATCATAGTCCAGTCGATTTGCAACATATCTGGGCCACGGTATATATGTTTAACGCTGGTTGAGCTGTATGATTGTGGTGTTGAAAAGAGCATTGTAAGCAGTTCATTTTTTCCATCGGGGGGGGGGGGGGGCTCTAAACCCATGATGCAAAGTGTGTCATTGTGTCTCAATCACATAGCCCCTGGCTGTTAGATCCTGTTATCTTCTGACATTAAGTCAAACAATAAGAATACATTAATTTATTTTATTTCAGTTGTACATATATTTGGTCATGCTACCAATCTATATTGTATAGTTACCCAGCCACCACAAGATGTCACTTGTTTATTTAGAGAATATTATAGAGGGTAAATAAACGTTTCTTCTCTTTATTAAACCACCAAATTATCAATTTCGGTTATAAAATACCCTTAAACTAATTAGGAGAATTGGGAGACCGTGGTAATCGAGCGGTAGGACGTAACTTGTCAAGGGTTGCGCCTGTAGGACTGCCAAAGAATGTGCGCTTTGTCGCTTCACTCTTAATGAACACGTGACCATGTTAATCACAAAATTACCGAAGTATTGTTGTGTCCCCGGGCAAAATTCTTCTTATTCGCATTATTGAAGTATTGTGTTTACCATAAGCAAGGCTAAGAAATTGGTGCCTAATTGCTAGCACAAGCCTACTGTCATGACTTTTAGTTAAACAAGTTGACTGATGATTTTGCAGGTGTCCCATATAGGTAGGGGATCATAGTGTATAGCTAGCACATTAACCAGGGAGTCCCGACCGAGTTCAGTCCTAGTGTTGGTCGAGAAAGTTCATAGGGATTTTCAAGCCTGGTTTCCCATTGTCATTAGTGCAAGACAGAGGGCCAGGCAAGGAAAGGGGCGTTAGTCTGTCGGAGGGGACGAAAATCCGAGGTCCTTCGGCAAAAGAAGCCACGGTAATTGTTGTAATTTCATCTCCTATATTGCCGCCTTATGCCAGCATCCTTGCCTTCTGAAATCGACTATTTGCCGATACAGGGAGAAATATACACTTTGATATGAGCATCTCTTTCTCTATTTGAAATATTTTTCACTGATATTGACAGAACACATTTCTCTGTGCTTATGTATTGTGGTTGTGGTTTTTTTTCAGGTCTAATGAATTGGCCACCTTTCACTACTGGGCATTTCAAACAATTACAGGTCAGATATGTACATATCTTATATTCACATTATAACGTTAGACTTGACGTGACGTTAATCTATTTAGAGGTGTAGATTTCATAGGGAAATAAAGGTGCATCCCATTTTAGGATTATAGCGAATACTTGTAATTACTTCCCAATATCTAAACTATCTACCACTCTGTTCGTGGCCAGTAGCACGACCCTTTACACGAAACAACGAAGTTGTGTTGGTGTGCACGTAAAAGAACCCTTGATATTTGGAATTCGATGAAAAGTAGGCGGAAACGCCACTGTCTGGGCAAGGGGTACCCGAATTGTGCCTCGTCTCATTTCATTTTCGTCCCATTTCATTTGTATGTTTGGCAGTCGTTATACCGAACGAAGATTGCCCATGCAAATTATTATTCTTCACCAGTATATCCCAAGCGCCTGGATAATCCAGATAGCTATACTCGCCCTGGCGCGTTATATGAACCAGCGTGCTAGTAAATAAAGACTCGATTATCCAAGCAAAATTAATATCAAGTTCAGCTAATGAATTATTTTGCCAGTAACATATAAGAGAGAGAGGGAGAGAGAGAGAGAGAGAGAGAGAGAGAGAGAGACGGGGTGGGGTAACGTCCACTCAAACAAACTAGGTAATTTCGGGACTAACACATGATTTAATATTATTTCAATAATTCACTTGCGCGTAGGGGTCTTTATCAATGGGGGGAAACCGGTGGACCCGGAGAAAATCCACGAGGTTGAACAGTTGACCCTAGTACTTGTCACGTACAACCCTGGAATCGAAACCACGCCAGTTGACTCAATGACAGACCTTACGATACAGCACACACGTGCAAACCATTCGGCCCTTCAACCTCCCAACATGTAAAAGAGAAAATGATATGTAACCGAATGTATAGAGATGCATTTATCAGCATTGTTTATGTCTTTCTTCTCCAGGATTGGCCGGGGTTTACGTAACCGTTCTAATTTTGATTATGTACGTGTTTGCCACGCAGTACGCCAGAAGAAACATCTTTACAGCTTTTTGGTTTACTCATGGTTTTTATATTTTTGTTTACCCATTGACGTTTTTACACGGCGTCGGTGTGCTGGTTCAAGCTCCCTTGTTTCCATGGTTTTTGATTGGTCCACTGATTTTATTTGTACTGGACAAATTGGCTAGTATTAGCCGGAATAAAGTTGAGATCAGAGTAAAAAAGGTCTCAATCTTACCTTCAGGTAAGCAATGGTTACTATTATAATATATACTTTATATTGTATTAGATAATTTATATTTATCCAATACCATGGCCGCAGATCCCGGGGGGATGGGGGGGGGGAAGTGTCCCCCCCCCCTGGATTTTCACTGGTGGTGGGGGGGATTTCATATGCTTCGTCCCCCCCAGAAACATGCATCGATAAAATTTCAAAAGTCTTATTTTCAGCCCGGGAAATGTAGGCTATATTTCCGAACATGCCGATGTACAATGCTCAATTATTCTCGGTACGTTCATCTCTGCAGAATGCTCAGAAATGGTCTCAGATGGCGTTTTCAGGCATCCTGCTTTCAAATTTTCTGGGGGAGGACCCCAAAACCCCCCGCAGATGGTTCGTGCCTGCGTCGCGAGCCGTGTGTCGGGCTCCGCCCGCCACCTCCGTCCCCCCCTAAAATTTAATAAGATCTGCGGCCATGTCCAATACTAAGTGCAGGAACTCTGCACCATACTCATGTGTAAATGAAACGCATAACCCAGCAAAAAAATGAACATAACATAGATTGGACGTGTCAACCAAATTAGAACGATTAATTTAAGATATTGATCAAACAGTCGGCAAGACCGAGGTCGATTTTGCAATGGATAGCATGAAATGTTACGTCCAGGGAATGTATCAGATAAAATACTAAAAATCAAAATGGTGTCATTTTATCTTTTTGACATAAAAACAGGCGAATGATACATTGATGGTGTAAACTTAGTTACGTAAAAAAAAGTCCGTTATATCTTTATACCATACATTACGTGATACCTAATTTCTAATTTACAGATGTTACTGAGTTAGTGTTTAAGAGACCTGCTAACTTTGACTACAAGTCTGGACAATGGGTGCGAATCGCTTGTCTAAAGTTAGGTAAAAGCGAATATCACCCTTTTACCCTCACTTCTTCACCTCACGAAGAAAATCTCAGTCTCCATATCCGAGCTGTGGGACCCTGGACGAAAAATTTAAGACAGTTGTATGAACGAAAAAGTTTGGAAAATAAACCGCTTCCAATGGTAAGTATTCAGTATTTCCAAAATTTCATAGAGTAATCTAACATTCTGAGAAGAGAACTTATATTCGCCTTGGTATGGTGGCTAGAGACAAATGTCAAATCATTGACGAATTATTATCTGATCAAACTGGGGATTAAACAATTTTTATTACACAACCCCATGTTATTGTTATCACTTCCGTCGGATTATCGTCCATATTTTTTGTTAGTACAACATAGGCTTCAATTATCCATATAATCGTTTTCAAATTCTGACTAACAATTCTTTTGACGTTCAATGGTGGAGAATAATCACCCCGTTTGTTACAAAATCTTGTTAAGAGTTAAAAAGTTATTGGCTGCAATTATTCAACCGTCTATTGAAAGTAAAATATTGATTTTCAACGATTTTCTGTAATAACTCACAGGGTTATTCCCCTTGTTACGAAATTTTATTAGCGCCTTAGAGATTTCGATCTTTCTGAAATTGCTTTGGTGTAGTTAACAACCGCTTGGGCGGTAGATTTCATTGCCTGGCAACCAATATTATTTTGTATTTTATAGCTTTATGTGGATGGACCATTTGGAGAAGGTCACCAAGATTGGTTTACTTTCGATGTGGCGGTTCTTGTAGGAGGAGGAATTGGTGTGACCCCATTTGCATCTATCCTTAAAGACATTGCCTTTAAGTCTAAATCGGGCCTTAAAATCAACTGTAAAAAGGTATCAATTCTAATGTTTATATTTATCACTATGTTATTGACATCATATAAAGAGGATAGAGACCGCCGACTTTTTAAACTAAAGTATTTGTGACTATTTATGGCATTTCTGATTGATGAAATGAAGATTTTAATTAAGCGGCCTTTTAAAGTGAACACTACGATGTATTTGTGATAAGATAACAATTTTGGATATTATTTCGAGATTAAAACTATCTTCGTTTATCGTTCGGGTTATTTGGCGGGTCATTCCATAAATAGCATTCTGGTATGTGACTACAGCATAATTGTACCTGCTAACGATAATTAGACACGAAGCAAATATCTGGATAATCAAAATCTTTCAAATTGTTCGTGGAATTTCTGCATTATGAGATTTGATTGGTAGGTTCATCGGGACCCTACCAATCATATTAACGGATTGCTGTTTTGTAGGTATATTTTGTGTGGATAACAAGAACACAGAAACATTTTGAATGGTTGATTGATATAATACGTGACGTTGAAGATCAAGATGTTAATGATATTGTGAATGTCCATATCTTTGTCACACAATTTCAACAAAAATACGATCTAAGGACAACCATGTTGGTGAGTAGAATTTAACGGACATTTTTTTTTTATAAACAATATTTTATTGAGGATGTCTGAATGGGATTGGGGAACAGGCTTAGCCTATGTAAAACCCCTCTCCCTAAAATATTCAACTCCTTTGTTATCACACGCTAGTTTTAACCAGTGCTATACAATATTCAACTCCTTTTTTGTTATCACAGGCTAGTTTTAACCAGAGCTATAAAATATTCAACTCCTTTGTTATCTCACAGGCTAGTTTTAACCAGTGCTATAAAATATTGAACTCCTTTGTTTCCTCATGGCACACTGTAAGGCATATGCCGTATGCCGCTTTCGTTAGTCCAGCTGGTGCAAAAAAGTGAGACGCTAAACCCCATTTCATTTGATTATACTGACACCATAAACAACATCTACAAATAATTCTGTTTTGTAATTTTAACACATATTCTTTCTTTTTCTTCTTTTGAACAGTACATATGTGAAAGAAATTTTCAGAAAGTTGAAAATAAAAGTTTATTTACTGGATTAAGGGCTGTTACTCATTTTGGAAGACCTAAGATGACTGAGTTTTTACAAAGTTTACATTATGAATATCCAGGGGTAAGGTTGATTTGTCTTTATATTTTAACTTCTTGTACGATTCCACCTCACTGGGTTGTTTTAACTTCTAGTAGGATTCCTTCTCACTGGGTTGTTTTAACTTCTAGTACGATTCCTCCTCACTGGGTTGTTTTAACTTCTAGTACCATTCCTCGTCACTGGGTTGTTTTAACTTCTAGTACGATTCCACCTCACTGGGTTGTTTTAACGTCTAGTACGATTCCTTCTCACTGGGTTGTTTTAACTTCTAGTACGATTCCTCGTCACTGGTTTGTTTTAACTTCTAGTACGATTCCACCTCACTAGGTTGTTTTAACTTCTAGTACGATTCCTCCTCACTGGGTTGTTTTAACAATACGATTCCTCCCCACTGGGTTGTTTTGCGATGAGTAATCTGTTGCATCAAATACACAATCGATGTGCAGAATAAAAAAACTTGGTTATATGAAATGAAATGAAATGCGGTTTAACGTCCCACTGTCCTGCTTCGAACTGGGCTAATGAAGACTGAGCACACGCCATACAGTGTGCTATGAGGGAAATTTTGCCTGGACAGCGGCACCACGCCCTACTCTTATATCGATTTCCAACTGTCAGGGGATCTTTTACGTGCACGCCAATGTGTACACGGGCCCTCGTTTTTCGTCAGATCCGAACGACTAGACATCTGTCCTTGTCAATCCCTCCGTCCTGCATCACTGACAAGGGGGAACCACGCCGGAAAATCTGGACGAACTTTCTCGGCCAATGCAGGGATCGAAAACCCGACCCCCAGGCTAGCGAGTCAACGTCTTACCCACTTAGCCACCTTGATCCCCCATTGGTTATATGATATACCCCCTCGCCCTGTAACAACACTTGAAGAGCAAAATTTTAACATCCCAAAATATGTTTGTAAATATCTTTTTCTAGCCCAGACAATCAGTTTGTAGTATGTTAATTATGTATTTATTGTGTATTTTAGGTTGAAAGATTTGGTGTGTTTAGTTGTGGACCAGGTCCTATGACAAACTCAGTGCAAGCGTCATGTACTTTACTTAACTCGGTTGAGGGTCCAACATATCATCACCATTTTGAAAACTTTTAAATTTGTGATATTTAGAACAAAGACAATTTAAGCGTTATATTTCATTTGTTTCCACCCGGACCACCCGTTCAATATTTATATTTTCGTCTTAATGCTACGTCTCCCCACGAATGTCTCAGGCGTGTGTCCAGACACTCAAATCTCTGAACACGCCCCCTTGTGTATATCCAATTTTTAAAACCATCTATATTGTATTCAGATATATTTTTGTTTCATTACCGCAATAAATGGGTCTCTTGCGTGCAACCTGAGGCCAATCTCAAAATGGGTATAGCATAATGAAAATATACACGGAACGCAATACAGTTGTTAGTTTTACCGAGTATAACAATGCATAACAATACACGAAACGCAATACAGTTCTGTTCTAAAGAACACAGTTATGCCGAATATAATTATTCATCAAAATTCTTATACTAATGTTTACACTATAAGCTGTAGGTGTAATTATAAATAAGACTCTAATAAAACCTATACAGTCAACGTTGTAAAAATGTATACATTAGATTTTATTTTTTATATGATAAATAAATTTATTAAATAGTTCGGAGTCATTTCTCTTTAAAAGGTAAAAATGGTAACGTTGTTTCAAAAACAAAGCTCTTTAAAAGCGTATTTGACTATTGACAGTTGGTTATATTGCCATACAAGCCGGGGGTGGCCCCTAACATTTGGGCAATCTGACCTTTCGGGAAGACGGGAATAGTGGGGAATATAAACTATAAGATATAATCTAGTTGGCAAAATAAAGTGACCGAAGTCTAATAAAACACTAATTTTACTTTTCTGTTTATTGAATACAGCGAATTTGTACATAATTAACTATGGATTAAAACATTTTAATATTTGTGAATGCAGCTCCAACAGTCTGGTTGAAATGCAGGTGGGCATAGAGTGGGATTTCGAGTGTTGAACCATTTAACAACTTTATAGTGCCTTGACCCACGACCTAGAACAGCAGAAAAACGCATCTGTGGCGGTTAATTTTTCAAAATGTTCCCGGGGAGGGCGAGTTCCACGTATTCCGCAACGACCCGCGCAGGCTCTGTGGACTAAACGATTGTTTTAGGTCCGCCATTTAAGTTAGGCTATATTGGACCACACATTAAAGTAGCTGTTCACGAGCCAGGATAGAAGGAAAACGCGTTTGCAGCCGTCACGTTTTCCAAATATTACTGGAAAGGACCTTACACGGTAAACTCGCTAACGTCCGGCGCCGTCGTCTGTAAACTGAATTTTTTCGGCCATATCAGGTCGCCCAACCCCCATCCCTAGCATTTATCGGGCCCGTACGCCTATGTATATTTTCGTTTCGTGGTTGGAGTAAGTGACCACCAAGATCTGGTCTAAATATGTTGCTAGTGCAAGCGGTTGCCAGGGAAAATAGTTATTCTTCGCTGGCTGGAATCTATAGAGGGGGAACAGATTCAAAATACTATCTGTAGTAAATAGCGGGAAAGTAAAAGAGGAAATTCTGATCTAAAAGGGGTGTTTTCGTGGAGGAAAGCTGTAGCCTTATTCCCTTTAATCTGAAACAGCATCCACCCTTTCAACTAGAATTCGCCCGAATTTTACCTTTATCGACAGAATTTCTGACTTTCTTCCATATTTTTTCTTCAACTGAATTTCTTCTACCGACTGGCAGATTACGGAAATAAATTAGATCACGTGACAGATTCTGCATATCATTAGCATACGGCATTGTTTTAGAATAATTGGTCTAAAGAAAACATGACCAGACTAATGTGTTTTGAGCAGAGAAAAGAAAGATCCACGGCTTCTGAATTTGTCTCCGTAATATTCCAGTAGGTTAAAAAACATTATATTGGCGAAAATCGGCTTGAGAAAATTTGAAAGTAGAAAGTATGTGGATGAAAGTAGAATTATGGCGATTTAAAGTTGAAACGTTGGACTTGTTGATCGGGATTTGTTCATTTACCGCCTATTTGGTATTATACTCCAATAATTAAAAATACCTGACATATCTACATAAAATCGAAAAGATATACTATGAGATTATTATAAAAGAGTTCTTTTTATACACCAATAGATATTCACTTATTCATTTAATTCATTAATTTTTCGGGTTTTTTTTTTCGCTAAAATAATATTCGCCATTGATTTTCCTGTCTATTTTGTTTAATTCAAACACCCTATTTCTATAAAGTATTTATAATCTGAAAGTTTGAATAGAATTTTCTTTGTCCAATTAATTATTTGTATGTTTTGTATGGCTCGTGTTTTAAATAAAAACATCGATATGTAATTGTACAATTGTACTTGAATCCAACAGCACAGCAGAAACATGATACACCTTATCATTAGTGATTTTATTTTTTTGATAAAAATCAAATTAAAGTCTAATATAATACTATAATGTGCAAGACATTTGAGCTACTTCTAATCTAAAAGATACAAGGGTTTCTTTATAATAATAATAAGAGTGGCGTTTATTTAGACACCGTGTTCAATGTAACAACATCGTTGTTTAGACGACGTCCCCATTGAAAATTTTTTAAAGTTAAATCTGAAACATATCTATCCACACAACAGGTAAGGTTAATTTTGCGTGCTTGTGTTCATTTTTGTATATTTATTTAAAACGTTAACGTCATCTTCCTATTGAAAATGTTTTGATTGTTGACTTCTAGTTTTATGTACACGTTAATAAGCTTACGAAACCCTACTGTTGGGTTGTTTCGTTTTGCCAACTTCCCAAAACGGCCAAATGCGCCTTTTTGGTCGAAATTGAAGATTTCCAAATCAGAAATGTATGGAAAACCAAACAGCTCTTATTCGGTGTTCTTAATTCTTAGTTCTTGCACTTTTATAGTCCTTAATTCTTATTTCTTCATGTGTTGTCGAATTTCGACATATGAATCTTAAAATCAATATTTGTTTTACAAATCAGACATTTATCTTATCGGGTTTGTAAATTGTAATTTTGTTTAACTTAATTGTATTTTAATATAAAGATAGAATTTATTTTAGATTATCAAACAAAATATTACATTTTTATTTCATCCGAAATATACAACGAAAAATAAATCTCGAACAAGAAATTTCCAAATACAAATCTTGCAAAACATTTGTCAATAAACATTTCCCCAAATTCATCTTACCTGAACATTATGACGACAGAGGACGCCACTGGTAGGCCAAAATCAACCGAGCATACAATAAGTCACAGTTCAATAATGGGGACTTGAGAGAGCACACAATAAGAAAAATTGGTATTTGGAGATTTGTATTTGGAAATTCGTTATTCGAGATTTAATTTTCGGTGTATGTTTCTGATGAAATGTAAATAAGTTTTTGATTTTCTGAAATAAATTTATATTAAAGGAACTAAATCGAAATTGACACAAACGGGTTGCAATGCATATTATAATGTAATATGTCTGATGCTAAATAAAAGAATTAATCACTGTGTCTATTTTTCATCTCCATTTAGTACCCAAAACTATGACACCTCTAATACGAATTTCGTTCCTAAGGGTGGGACACGGATTCTGTCTGTATTGATTTTGAACTACACATTTAAAGAGAATCCATGTCAAATCCGAATAAAAAGTTTTGTGCCGTTAATTTATTGAAGTTCGATAGGGAACAAATACATGTTTTTGTTTTTGTAGGACAATAGGATACGACAGTTTTATTTGCTCAAATATGTATATAAATAGGCGTAAAGACCCGATAGATGTTAGGGGGCACATCTGAAAGGCCTGAAACAATTCCCGTACATTTCTGATTTTTAATGAAGCCTTTTTACCAATTCATCAAAACAAACCCACCACTATATTTCTTTTCTTTTCAGAGTACAACAATGGTTATGTATAATAATTCAACAAATTTTAATGCCTCCAGAGGAAATTTAACCGACTTGAGGTTTAATAATAATTCCTTCTATGATATGCTCTTTACTGTATCAGTGACAGTTCATGTACTGATAGCTATAGGCGCCGTTATCTCCAATATACTCATCTTGGGAACTATCTTCACAACCCCTACCTTAAGAAGAGAATTGTGCTATTTAATGGTATCAAGTCTAGCATTCGGTGATTTGTTGTTAGGACTGGCAGTTATACCAGTGTATGTTGATTTTACAGTCAATGATAAGATAACTTTGGGATGTGAAATTCATCTCATACTACAAGTGTTTGTAATTCGTGGTCATGTTATGATTACGAACTTAGGACTATTAATTATTAACATAGTCTATATCATCAAACAATATGAGTACAAAATACCACATATTAACCAAACTACCAAACTTCCGGTTTATATCGCATTGTCTTTGGTGCCATGGGTAGCCATGTTAATTGTTTTACCACCATTAATTAAAACGGGCTTGCATGAGAATATTATTAAAATATGGACGGCCACCATGTGTCCTCTTAAGGTTTATAAATGGGCAAAGGTGACGTTGAATATTTTGTGTTATTTCGCCCCTTTGTTTGGCATGATCATTACCACGTGCATAATTATCTATGGTTTTGTGGCTCAAGGCAGAGGAAACATTGCGTTTCGTCCGACATTGTTGAACGAAGAAAAGCCAATGTTTCGTCCCAAGTTTATTATTGTTGCTAATGTTCTTTGTTTGTTGCTACTGTTACCAGAACATATAGTACAAACGTTTACTTTATCAGAAAACACCAGAACGTTAATCACAGCAAAAATGTTTGTTTTCGTTCTTGCCGCGAGTAAAGGTGTTGCTTTACCTGTAGTATGGCTTCTTGTACCGGAAGTGAATGAAGCATTGAGAGAAAGGTGTAGCTTTTCTTACTGGAGAACATCCCCAGATGCCCCACAGCATGTCGTAAACAAAACATACAAACAATTCGTTAGAGATGCAGAAAACACAGATTAATCTTTTTATCAATAACAACATTGTTTGTTGTGAATTAAATGGATATATCCACTCGAATTGTTCTGTAAAATTTATGCAATCTCTATTTTGTAATCCCATATTACGCATTATTATTACCCCAATACTACTAATGTACAAACAATTCGTTAGAGATGCAGAAAACACAGATTAATCTTTTCGTCAATAACAACATTGCTTGCCGGAAATTAAAAACTTTTGTGTACAATTTTTTATGCAATCCTCTATTTTGTAACCCCATATTAAATATAATTATTACCACGAAATCCACTAATGTAAACAATTTATTATACATAGATTGTCATTAAATGTATTATTGTATTTTTGTGTTTTATATATACAAATCGGTTTCTCTACAGCATGTTTTTATACGCCCACATTTTCATATGGGCGTATATTGTCGTCGTCCCCGTCCGTCCACAATTTGTTTGTGAACACTCTACAGGTCACAAGTTTTATCCAATTTTGATGAAATTTGAAATTTAATGTTTATAACCCAACGATTGTGGTTCCTCTCAATCTTCGCGCATATCGGACTGTAACTTCTTGGATTATGGCCCTGATTGTACGAAAATAAACGTGATTTTAGCTTGCGGATCCTCTAGAGGTAACAAATTTTATCCGATTTTCAAAATCGTTTAACCACATCATCCCTACACCCGATGTTGATTGAGTTCGATTTTGATGAAACTTAAAATATATGCTTATATCCAAAAGATCTCACTGCCGCCTTTGGATATTCGCACATATCCGACCATAACATCCTGGAGTATGGCCCCTGATCGTACGAAAAATCACATTTTTAGCTTGTGAGTCTTCTAGAGGTCACAATTTTTTGGATCTCATTTTAAAAACTGTTTAAATATCACTGTTACACCATTATGATGGTTGAGTTCGAATTTCGGGAACATCGAAACGAAACAGCCCCACAAATTGACCGCTCCTTGTACGCAAATTGTGTAAAAGTAAATATACTCTTCAAAAAAAGTAGGGGATATTCAGAAACAATACAAAACTGCGGAAATGCACTGCTGCTTTTATTAGAGGTAACCATCGATGTTAATAACAGTCCAGCCTACACATGAACATAAACAATTCATATGGGCGGCTCATCTGACGGCCCCATTTCACGCGCAAAGAGATACACCGTCAAAAGTGAAAATGGACGTTTTTGATTTATGTCTTGATAATGAGTAATTGCTCCACCAATCCTCAGACATTCAGCAATTCGTCGTGGCATGCTCCTAATGAACCGTCCATTCACGATTTGGGGCAATCTGTCCCACTCCTCTTGCAGTGCCACGGCCAATTCTTGCGGTGTTGTCGGTTGACGTTGACGTCGACGAAAACGTCTCTCAATCAAATTAAACGTAACACACTAAATAAAAGACACGCTAAACAGAAAATCTTATGCAAGAACCCAGAGGCGTAGCCGCGAAATATATATTGGGGGGGGGGGGGGGTCCGCAAATGAAATTATATAAAATGTTGACAATCTGTGACGCCGGAAGCACGAGGCTGCACAGCAGCCGATGTATCGCGATAGGGATAGTGTGAGGGGGGGGGGGAGGGGGCACCCCCATGAAATTTTTTTAAAAGTTTCAGTCTTCTGTAAACACTGTTTTGGCATATTTTACGGGGCTAAACTAAAACATCACACCAATACAATGTTTATCATGTTTAAGTCAGGGGGTGCCGTATTCATATTTTTTTCATGACTTTTACATAATGAATGTTACGCTTGAGTTATGAACAACACGACAAAGAGAGTTTAGTAGGGGAATTTTTATGAAACAAAACTTGATCACATAACTTTAGTTTATGACTCACTGAGTAATACTAATCAACTGTCACGGATCAACGATAAAGCCGTCGACAACTCATTATTTACTGCGAATAATTAATCCAAGCGATGATTATTTGATATCTCATATCATCTTTAAAAAATAATTTATAAACGTCTATGTTTACATGTACGCAAAATGAGAATATCCCAGAATTCATATAAGAAAAACCTTAGATCATGTTTTCTTATGAAAAAAACCTACCCTGGAAGAATAACCTGTTACAGGTTTAAAGAAAAACTTTCAGAAGAATAACCCAAGTTCCCCTGTATATATCCTCTGTATATAGACCTCAAGTTATTCCCGGCATATAATATACCTCAAAGATGAAAGAAATTTACCGTTATAGGTTTATAATGACTATGAAATTGACATCTCTATAGGAACTCATATTTTGATAACGTTACGCTACCTGAAAATAATAATAGACCTATCGTACTATGTACATTTTTTGGGGGGTCCAAGAATATTCAGACCCCCACCCCCGAAAAACACTGGGGGAGGGCGGACCCCCTCCCCCACCCCCACGTGTGACGCCCATGCAAGAACCGATAGGAAAGCAAACATGGATAGATAAACCATTACGCGGCAGTTTTCATCAACCCTTCCTTGAAGTGTCAAATTTAACAAAGAACCCCTCAAACGTGTATGGCGCTATTGTGTGTCTCATGTACAGCTCAGTGGTTCTGTTGGGGCGATAAATTTTTCATCTGTGAACATACTCTCAAAGCATGTCAAGTGTCCATGACTATTTATCAGATCACAACCTGCATAGGTATTTGCATTTCAATATCCCCTACTTTTTTGGAAGGGTATAATACGAAGGTTGTTGACCCTCTAGTAGTCATAATTTGTATTCGCACATTCCAGACCATAACTTCCTGGATCTTGGCGTTTTTTGAAACTTTTTATCTATCCATCTCTATCAAGGACACCGAGAATACAAAAGAAATGTGCAGCCCGCGAGGGCCTTCAGATTTTCCAAGATCGATCCTCAGGTGCCAGACAGGCTTGGTGTCCACTGATTTTGCATCTGTAACGGAGAAATGTTCGGCCGTGTGCAATGTGGTGAAATCGATGATAGCGTTGAAGTCACATTTGAGACTAGAGGGGCGCCTAACACAAACCCAGAAAGCCCCCGAAATCAGGGGACACGAGTTAATGTGTCTAGTCGTTTGATTGAGCCGAAGCATATTGGTATTCGATGTACAGGATACGTGGGCAGTTGAAATTTGGAGAACGAATTTTGAAACACCGAATTATGTGCAAAATTTACACCCTGGGCAGTTGAAATTTGAAGACAGAATTTTGAAACGCCGAATTATGGAGAAAATTTACAACCTAGGCCTTAACATTATATACATAACACAAGTCAATTTTACACGGGACGTCTCAAGCAACATTCCATTCTATATATCGATATGTTTAACCATGCAGCTCAACGTTTGTAATTTATATTTTATAGTTTGATTTAAGAACGCCATAATAGTTTTGGCATTAATAACAAATGTTTCCCAAAATATAGTAACTTGTTGCTAGAATTGATGTTTCTCCTTGGATTCTATGGATTCATTTCGATGACTAGGTGACAATCGATTGAACTGCCAGAAAAAAATGGCCGATTCTCGTACGCAAATAGTGTAAAAGTATGGTATATCAAGGTTGTGGACCCTCTAGAGCTTACAATTTTAATCCGATCTTGATGAAATTTTACATTTATGTTTATATCACACAGATCTCGGTTCCTTTCGATAATCGCGCATATCGGACCGTAACTTCCTGGATAATGGCCCTGATTGTCCGAAAAATCACATTTTTTGCTTGTGGACCCTAAACGAAGTGAATCTAATAAATTGCAAAGATATACTATACGATTATTATAAAAGAGTTATTTTTATATACCAAGAGATCTAGACATATATAAATATTCTTGATTTTCTTTTCTTTTTTGTTGTTGCTTTTTTTTTTCTGTGTTAAATAATAATCGCCGTTTATTTTCTTATATGTTTAATTTCAACACCCTATTTCTATAAAGTATTTATAATCTCACAGTTTGAATAAATTTGTCTATGTCCAATCAATTATTTCAAAAAAACTGTGTGTATGTAATTGTTTAATTACCACTTGACACAATTATATGGGATACAAGTTACTTAGAGTGTATTTCTTGTTACGTTCGGCGAAGGTTCTTCTGCTTCAACAATTTAATCCCAACTTGAATTCGACAGAACAGCAGAAACAAGATATACATTCTCATTAGTGTATTTTATTTCTTGATAAAAAAAAAATGAATTAAAGCCAAGTATAATACTATAATGTGCAAGACATTTGAGCTACATCTAATCTAAAAGATACAAGGGTTTCTTAATAATAATAATAATAATAATAATAGAGGCGTTAATTTTGTCACCGTATTCAAAGTAACGACATCGTTGTTTAGACGACGTCCCAACTGAATATTTTTGAAAGATAAATCTGGGACATATCTATCCACACAACAGGTAAGATTAATTTTCCATGCTTGTGTTAATTTTTTATATTTATTTAAAACTTTAACGTCATCTTCCTATTGAAAATGTTTTGATTGTTGACTTCTAGTTTTATGTACACGTTAATATGCTTACGAAACCCCACTGTTAGGGTGTTTCGTTTGCCAAGTTGGCAAAACGGCCAAATGTGCCTTTTTTGGTCGAAATTGAATGTTTCCAAATCAGAAATGTATGGAAGACCAAACAGCTCTTATTCAGTGTTCTTAATTCTCAGTTCTTACATTCATAGTCCTTAATTCTTATTTCTTCATGTGTTGTCGTATTTCGACATTTAAATCTTATAATCAATATTTGTTTTATAAATCAGACATTTGTTATATCAGGTTTGTAAATTGTAGTTTTGTTTAACTTTATTGTATTTGAATATAAAGATAGAATTTATTTTAGATTATCAAACAAAAAATTACATTTTTATTTCATCCGAAATATACACCGGAAAAAAAAATCTCGAACAAGACATTTCCAAATACAAATCTTGCAAAACATTTGGCAATAAACATTTCTTTAAATTCATCTGACCTGAACATTATGACGACCTAGGACGCTAGTGGTAAGCCAAAATCAACCGAGCATTACAATAAGTCACAATTCAATAATGGGGACTCGAGAGAACATAGAGAAGAAAAATTGGTGTTTGGAGATTTGTATTTGGAAATTCGTTATTCGAGATTTGATTTTCGCAAATAAATTTATATTAAAGGAACTAAATCCCTAATATTTGGAACCTAGAAATTGACACAAATGGGTTGCAATGCAGATTATAATGTAATGTCTGATAAAAGAATTAATCACTGTGTCTCTTATTTGTCAACTCCATTTAGTACCCAAAACTATGACACCCCTAATACGAATTTCGTTCCTAAGGGTGGGACACGGATTCAGTCTGTATTGTTTTTGAACTACACATTTAAAGAGAATCCATGTCAAATCCGAATAAAATTGATACTAAGTTTTGTGCCGTTAAT